AGATATAGTGAGATCCTTACTTTGTATTAGAGTAAGATATAGTGAGATCCTTACTTTGTATTAGAGTAAGATATAGTGAGATCCTTACTTTGTATTAGAGTAAGATATAGTGAGATATAGTGAGATCTTTACTTTGTATTAGAGTAAGATATAGCAAGATGGATCTTACTTTGTATCAGAGTTCAATATAGCGAAATCCTGCTACATTTCATTTCTTTACATAATCTTTGTTACAGAAAAGGACTAATTTAGTTGGAATATCTGATGTCCAAGTATTCACTTTATTGTAATAATAATAATCATAGACTTTATTTATTAAGCTCATTTTTTATTGTTATTTTTATAATTATTATTGTTATAATTATAAAGTGAATACTTTGACATATACAGTGCATGTCCTTTACCTAAATCTTAACACTTATGAAGTTTGATGCAAGAAGAGCCATATCTTCAGTTCGATATAATATCTTGACTCTGCATCAGAGATATGTATTTTTAAAGTCATAAATTCGTTTAAATGTGCGTGAGGCATTGAAAACATATTCAAGTAGTACGCGAAAAAGCATTTGTATAGAATGTTTAAGAGAAGATAAATGTTAAGTGAAACATGAATTACGCTGCTCAAAAAGATTTAGTACTATAAGTGCAACATATAACTACACTAGATATAGTTTGATATATGGAAAGGATTCACGACACTAGTTGAAGTAGAAGTAGTATTCAGAAACACAGAAAACAGCATCTGTATAACGTGCTAACTTTACCCTATACAGAGTTTGAATCCCACAAGACGGACCTCCAGGAAGAACTTCAGAATGTACGAATGCTGAGGAGCGACTCGTGTCTACGCCAGGAGAACGAGGAGATGCGATCCGAGATGGACATTCTTCAGGAAGAAAACCACCGACTCAAGGAGATGATCCGACAACTCGAAGAAGAGACTAAGCCCCAGAGCCAAGATGGTGGCGCTTTTATGGGACAGAACGAGAAAAAACCCGAACAGAAGGCACCAGATACAAACGATTTGCAACAGTTAAATGTCGATTATGAACAGTTGAATATCGACACTATCGCCTTAGTTTAACTTAGCGCGTTCAGATATATCACAAATGATGTGTTACTGTCAATGGGATTTCCAAATATTTCAAGACTACTGGGATAGCCCCAGAAATTAACCCCTTTATCAAAAGACAGTTTGACCGATGTTTGTCTGGGGGTACTGTTTCGTTTCAAGTATGTTTTAACAATTATCTTAACATGTTTGACCAAAGTATAAGTTGTACTGTGTATACCTTGGGTAAGCCTCAGTTGAATACAACTGAACAGTATTCTTCCTAACATGAAGTACATCTTTTTCGAACGTATAATCACTTTTTCGTGCATTACAAATAGGAGCGAGCACCTAAATGTGTAGATCGAGTATTGTAATCGTACACATTTCAATGTCATTTCCAATGAAGTGTCATTGCTCGGGAGGTAACTTCTTAAACATTGTTGGTACCTAGATGAATCTCAATGCAAGTATTAAGGCACCTTTGAAATTCAAGGCTCCCGTTCTCGGTACACAAATCTGCGCCGTTGGAATATGTCTTGACAGAATGGAAGGTTCGCGTTAAGCATTACGATTTTCATTTCATTCTTTTTGTTCATTCTTTTTTTAAGGGCGTGTATGTCTATTGATTTGTCTGTACAATCTGCTGCAAAGGTGTTTCGTACATTGAGAGCCTTTGATTTCGTCCATTACATATCAAGGGTGCAGAGAAGTTGTGTGTCGAGATCGAGAACGGAACAGCGGAACAATTGGATTTCGAAGTTGATACTAAGGATATCAGTGAAGTGTGTATCATTAAGGGTAATGTTAGTTCACATAGTAGCATCATTTGTTTTCCTATAATTTAATAATTGTAATCCTTTTTTCAAATTGATTCACCACTGAAAAATATGGTATTTCAATACCGTTGCCTGGGGCAACTGATTATAGGGACATGTTGAACTGGAATCCAAGGGGAAATTCCCTGGTGGGAGGGGTGGGGGAGGGTCTGGGCAGCTTTGCCACAAATTAAGAAGTTGTAGAATTTTAGTCATAACAGGGCCAGACCAATCCTCGATATCCCCTTAAGTTACGCTCACTTTCGCTCTCTTCACCTCTGGAATATGTCATGGCAATATCGAAGGCTCAGTGTGCACCACCTTGTGGGTGAGACGGGAAGACTAGTATAAAGATCATGTCCGTCGCGTAATGGTAAAATTGACTGCCTTTGAATTCGGGTGTCGCTCCTCTGTGAAAGGACAGGTATCAGCCTAGCGATTGTTCAGGGTTTTTTTTTAACTTGAGACTAATTAATTAGCAAGCCGTGTGCCTTCAATTTTGCTATGGCATAGTCCAGGGGTGCAGAGAGCGGATGAGCGTAACCCTTGGAGTACCGAGTATGGGCTAGACCCCACCACGCCTTGCTACAATAGCATAGCTCCTGGCGACGAGATGATTTTGATATACATATGTAGATACTGTGTCAGGTGGGGGTGTTAATATCGGTACTACAGCCCTCCAACCCTAGGGCACGACCATATGAACCATGTTTTTTCAAATAAAAAAATCCGAAAAAAAAATCATTTCACAAACATTTTTACAGTTTTAGGTTAATTATTGTCACAATATAAGTCGATATACTTAGTATCATACCCGTCACCAATCTACCTTCATCCGCAGATCAGTGTTATAATACATAGGAATTTAATTCAATGTCAAATTGTTGTCATATATTTATGTTCTGATGAAATAAAATATTGTTTTATCTAATATTAAATTTGACTTGAAGTCCATTCCTGTAGTTCCTTTGGCGACAGAGCACTATAAGTTGCAGCTTATGATATCAAAATTATACTGAAGGCCGAGATATCAATCACCAGTTTTAGGTGTCCGATCTTCAGCAATCTCCGAGTGTTACCTAATTTCCTAATTGACAGGAGGGGGACATTGTGACAACTGGTATCCGCATCGTCGGATAACCACGGCTGAAGCGAAACGAAATCAGCCGTGAGTATCCGATGATGTGGTAGTCGAAGAGAGACAACTTCTTGTGTTTCATAGTTGGGTTAAACCATAAACAAGATGTTCGGATACTTTAATAATCATGACGAGATGTTCTTGTTGAAAGCAACCATACTACAGGCAAAATACCATTGCCCTATGCTTCTTTGTTATTCAGAAGAACAGTTAAATGTTGCAACACATTTGACCCTTGCGACTTTAAAGAAGGTCAAGGTCATTTATTTATTCAAACTTCATAGATCTATATAGCTTAGGGGGCTAATTGCCAAATATGATCACATAGGCATCAAACTATTTGACCTCTGCAGCCTTCGCTCGAATTCTTGAGGTTCATTGATTTGAACGTATTCAGAATCATTTCATGGTTTCATATATTTTAGAAACATTGTAGCACTCCACCAAAACACGGTACTGGCCAAATATAATCACCAGGGCAGTTTAGTAATTCAGGAAAAGTCATCTGAAGGTGTGTGTTTTTTTTACATATATTTGACCTCTTTGACCTTGAAAGTAGGTCAAGGTGATTGATTTGATGAAACTCCGTCCAAAATAACCATCCCGTGGTCTTTCAGTATTCTTCAGATAAAAAAAGTGTTTTTTTGTGATTTACGAGGCTTTCACCAGTGGATCTAGGTAAGGGTAGATTTGCACGGTGTCGGTCACTCTTTCTGAAAACACTTTTAGCTAAATAATATCTTTCCACATATTTTTCTAAGCAGGACTTTGTTCGCTGACAGTTGTAGACGGAATTCTTTTTAACTTAAGTCTTACGGAAAAACTGCAAAAAAAATCTGTAGGCAAAATATAATCGTTACACAATTAACAAGAGGTGAATTATATAACATCATCAAAATACTGTTTCCGTGTACAGAAAGTTTTAAAGGATAAAAAAAACACTTAATGTTTTATGACAATTTGGAACTATCAAATCCTTAACTGAGGGTGCTACCTCCCTATCCTGTGACATCAAGAATTCTTCCAAGTTTCAGAAGATTATAACTAATAGATACTATACTGAAAACAGACTATTATTTTATATCAATACAGTGGACATCTTGTTGCATGGAATCTATCGGAATATGCTTGTAAAAATACTTAAATATCAGCATAGACCCATGGAATTTTCAATAAAAACTTTTTCATATGCTGTTTACTTTTAATATTGGACGACACCTTATTTTGTCAATGATGAAAACTTTAGCAGTCTTTTAGTAAGTTTTCAAATAAAATGTACATACATGTATATTCATTGAAAGATACTGACAACAATAATAGACAAGAGATCCAAGAGGGATCTTGGCGCCCACCATTGAACCATCTTCATTAGTTCTTTGTCAGTTCAATCTTTTCTCTGATCTGTTTGATCGAGTCATGTTAACAGTAAATGCACATTTAGGTAACTTTTGATCTAAACTTAATAGTGCTGTGTATAGACAACCTTCAAAGTGAGTTTGTCATTTCACATATTTACTAGTACAATACTTAATGTGAAAGAAATAGAATTGATAATTGGAATATGAGAAAGATCTGTTTAGTTCTTCCTTAAGCCATTACGTTTCTATGATCAGTCTCAAAATATAACATGCACAACGAGGTATGAATGGGAACCTACATATCAAATTTGAGAAAGATCCCTCAAGTAATTTCTGTAAAAAAGTACTTACAAACCCTCAAAAAATCTTTTGCTGTCTGACATTTTGTTTATCTGATCAGTTTCAAATGAAAATATGCACAACTAACGACCAAGGGGAACCTACATATAGGATTTGAGAAAGATCTCTCAACTTCTTATTGAGAAACAGCAATAAAAAGTATACACTTTCAAAATCCAAGATGGCTGCCTGTCGGCCATTTTGTTTATCTGATCAGTCTAAAAAAGTTAACCTCCACAACGAAAGACCCAAGGAAAACCTACATATCAAATTAGAGAAAGATCCCTCCAGTACTTACCGATAAATAGCTATAACAAACCTTCAATGTCAAAATCGAAGATGGCTGCCTATGGGCCATTTTGTTTATCTGATCAGTCTCAAAATTAAACATGCACAACTACAAACATAGGGGAACCTACATAACAAATTTGGGGAAGATCCCTCCATTACTTTCTAAGAAATAGTGATAACAAACCTGTAATGTCACAATCCAAGATGGTGGCCTATCAGCCATTTTCTATATCTGATCATGCACATGCACAAGGGGAACCTACATATATAATTTGAGATACTTTCTAAGAAATAGTGATAACAAACCTTCAGTATCAAAATCCAAGACAGCTGCCTGTCGGCCATGTTGTTTATCTGATCAGTCTCAAAAGTTGCCTCACACAACTTAATATCAAGGGGAACCTGTATATAAAATTTGAAAAAGATCCCTCAGGTACTTCCTGAAAAAGCGATAACAAACCTTCACCATCAAAATCCAAGATGGCTGCCTGTCGGCCATATTATTTATCTGATCAGTCTCAAAAGTTCCCCTGCACAACTAGGGACCAAGGGGAACCTACATATAAAATTTGAGAACGGTCCCTCGGGTGCTTTTTTGAGAAATAGCGATAACAAACCTTCACTATTAAAATCCAAGATGGCTGCCTGTTTGAGAAAGATCCGTCTGGTACTTCTTGAATTGTTTAAGGACAGACCATGGAACACGGATGCAGGGCAATTTGAATAGTCCACCATCAGATGATGGTGGGCTTAAAATGCATGCACCAATGCTTTACTTAATTCCTCAACAAAACTTAACAGCACAATAACAACAAACAGACTTTTTTTTTACAAAACATTTATTTTACAAGGTACTCGCATGATTTTTGAAAATGATGAAAGAGATGAAAAACAAGAAGATCAATGTTTCCTACGTGAAATATAACACCCTATGACTGGTTATTTTGACAGATTTAGTCATTGCTTGTACATTTGAATATATACATTCACATACATTATCCATATTCACAATGGCGAAGAGTTGAGACCAATGTAACAACAGTGAATCCTACAACCCACTAAATTAACCTGCAATAAGGTAAATGTACTTAAACACTCAATCTTGTCACTTTGTCCCCTCCGTGATACTTCAGACCTGGCCCCTATCTGTCACTGCCCCCTTTCCCTACCCTACCCTACAGTTACAAGTTTACTCCGAGACCCTTTCATACTCAAGTCTACACTGATGATTAACTGTATCTAGGCCGGAGGTTAAAATGGACCCTTCAAGCTAATTGCCCATTTTCTAAGCAAGCATGGACACACCATGAAGTGGTGAGACCCTGCTGCCTGTCCCTTTAAGTCTGGGTCCAATATGTCTGCCCCTAAATGATGGACCTCAAGAGGTTGACAGCCCTCTTCAGATCCAAAGAACAAAAACTGGAAGAACTCAATAATGTGTACAAATTTGTTACGATATGCGATTTCTTACATCAAACATAATTTCAATTATTGACATATAAATGACTTTGTAAATAAACAACACAACAGCAGCTATGTACATAAAGTACATAAACAGGGGTACATCATATACAGCAACATCTAAAACACACTTAGGAAAGGAAAAACATTCTGGTATTTTTATAACACAACCTTCCTTCCTTTAAGGATGAACTGGCCGTGACAATTCTAATTGTGTAGAGCATTTTCAGTCATGAGTGTTGCATCATAATACTTGTACATAATCACCATGAATAGGACTAAATACTTTATCTTAACCAACAAAAGCTTCTGGCTTGATTGATATGTTTGTGAAGATGTTTCAAACTTAGTAACTTACTTAATGTCATGCTAAATTTACATCTGTACAGGAAATCAACTGGAAAATATTGTTTTTAAAATGTTAACAGATCTTAATTCTTAAGCAATTATGCCTGAAACTTAATTATTTCCATCGCATTAACAAAGATCAAACTGTTAATATGGAGTATTAAATGTGCATCTAGGCACTCAATGTGATAAGTTTGCAGGCTTTTTAGCTTATTCCAAAAATGTATCCAAGTCTGAATCAAACTTACAACATATAACACTCAAGACACAACAGCATTTTTATTTTTACAAGGAAAAACTTTTATTGGTTGTCCAAGCAGAAAGTTATCAGATAAGAAGTCATACAAATTTTTGACAGTTGATCATAGAAAGTAAAGCTTTTATATAATATCCTACGCGAACATGACAGATATTAAATCCCTACACATAACGAGTATCTCTGATGTTCAACAAAGATGAACAACAGATCTGGGACATTTGCTGTGTGATTTACATCACATTCAATAGGACAACTTCCTCCACAAAGTGGTGCCTCAAAGGAAAGCCTTTCATCTTCTTAATTCTCATTTTCAGGGACTTAATGAATTTCATGCATGATTGTCAAACACCCTGATCACCCAATAGAATAGACACAAAATATCTTAACATCATTTAGTGGAACTGACTGAGATTTCTGCTAGGACAACCATTCTAGTGCACACATCTTGTTAAACCAGTTGTTCGAATTTCATAAAACTATACACACATACACCCTTTCACATCTTCAAACAACAATCTCCTTAGGCTACACAAATGATGCGTGATATGGAGACTTGCACTACTGTAATCCTCACACAAGGAAAAGTCGCACAAAGTGGAGGACATAACTCGATTAAAACCTACACATATGTAACAGAATTAAAAACCCTACATACGTAATGGAGGCTTAATTAAAAGTCCTGTATATACATAACGGCGGGCTTAACCGGATTACTAAAGAACTTCATATTTAATAATGAAGGACATCACTACTCGGAGACAATATCATCTTACACACACAGATTAAATTTACCACATTTACAAAGTCTTTTGACATAAAAACTTTTTGGGCTACACAAGTGAGGCATGTCTTTAATTACCAAATCTTGCCATGCAAAATCACAATTTGACTGAGTTTGCTAGCCTTGTTTTCAATCTTTACTATTAGACTAGCAAGGTAATGGGCTAATTGCTATATAAATACAACAATCAGCTGCTGTCATAATCTAATAAAAAAAAAAAAATTGTAGAAAGAAAAAATAGCACAAAAACTCACTAATTTTATATAACATGAATTAAATCATGTGAAAACACACCTTTACTAATAATATATAAATGTGTAAAACGCTTCATTAATTTTACATAAAAAAAAAAATATTGCCCTCTTTCAACATGACATTCCTTATTTCTGTACCATCTTCCGTCTTTCCACAATGAAGTGAATTCCTGCCAGTTATCCTCCACTAAGTCTGTTGATATATTTTTTCCGGAGGTGGGATAAAAGTTAGTGCATGTCATGACAAATGAATGCTGTTAAATGAGAGGTCAAAAGAAAATTGGTTCTGTTTGAAGAAAACTCTGGTCGTCATCTTTCTGCTGTCCAGGTTTAGCTGCCTGTTTTGGGTAACCTGGTCGTGCTGGTGGAGTTTTGTAAAAACGATCATAATAACTCTGTGCAGATGCGGAAGAAGATTCGTGTCCATTTTCATAATCAGCTTGGTAACCATTATAGTAGTCACTGCCCCTAGGGGGGAGGGAAGGGGGGGCCTCTGCACGCTCCTCAGGGGCATATCTGTCAAAAGAATCCATAGGGTTCAAATGGCTGTCAACAAGATGAATACTCAAACCATATGTATGTCAGACAGCTTAACACATACTGCAGTAATGATAAAAACACAATTCATGACCTGACAAAATCTTAATAATAAAGTAGAATCGGAATGTACCATACCTTAATATAGGACAGAATGGTTACGGCAATCGACTAAACTTATTCTTAAGCTAAAGCCATCTTGGAGATTGTATTATTGGTGGTTATTTTCAAATTCCTCAGAGTTCAACCAAAATGCTAATTTTATCAACACATGTATAATGTAATATTTTAATTTGGAAAGTTATTAGTGGTATGTGAGTGTTGCATTGTATCCTAATGTACATCATAAATTTAAGTTGCAATTATGAGCTTTGTAGCCCAGATTGTTCACCTTTCAATACAAATATGCTAACTTTACCTTTTCAATGATATGATGAGAATGTACCAATTATTTGAAAAGTTAATCTAAATGTATAAATTTACAGGAGGAGAAGAAATGAAATTAGTTATCAAATACTTTAGTGTGCCTGTTAGGAACCAAGATATCTATATTCCTTACTCTTGTGGATGCACTGGTGACTGATGAAAAAAGAAACGGTTGGGGGAAATATTTGTTTGTCCAGAATATTTTGACTTAGATATGTTCCAGAGATGACATAAACAAATCTTACCCCTTGGGTAGTGATTTTCTTCTACAGGGGAGTTTGATTCTACCGATCATTTGCTGTATATTGTGAAATAAAAATGATTTACTTCATAAAATTAAAATATATTTTATCTATAGAGTAGCTACTTTTTACAGGAAATGTTTTTTATTATTACAGAAAATTGATTACATTTTTTTATATTTATGCCACCTTTCGATATAATTAGGTAAAAATACAATCAGATAACAGTTATACCCTAGATTTCCTGATCACAAAAATGGGCATTATTCGCATCAATATGTCTGTACTTAGCACCCAACGTTCTACTATTCCCAATGATCATATCAGATAACTGAGTGATATTTTTTGTGCAAAGGATTTTCTGGCTACTTTTTTGAAAGTTAAAGCAGGGTTTTTTCATAATTTTGATAAAAATGCAATTTCATGTAGTGATATAAAATAGTAAAGGATACAAAGCCTTATAACCTTGGACTTCTATTTATAAAAAGGCCACCAGTGAACCACACCTCTGATTACAGTACATGCAGTTCATAATTCCATGTAAAAATACATGCAAGCATTTTTTGTTTAATGAGGTAAAAAAAAATATTAGTTCTTTGCTGTAAAATCCATTCTGTTAGAAGATGTATTTCTATGACTATCACTAAGTTCTGCAGCTAGATCATATTATCTTCTTTTTTCAAATTGTGCATGTTTAACATGTTATTTAATATTAGAATAATCCGTCACAATTCTTTATAAATATATAGAGTTTTTACTTTAACTGTATAAACATTTACATTTATTGTATGAAGTCTTTAACCTGACAATGTCTACATTAACATATATTAGCCAAAATGGGATAAAAAATGCAATAATTGATGTCACTAAAATGGGTTTTTTTACAATGAAAATCATCCCATCATCAAAGTATTTAAATTGACTTGTACCACAATCAACCTCATCAAAATTTCATATGGGCTATAGTTATCAAGATATAACGAGGCCCATGTCACCCAAGTTCTGATATATTGATACAAAGAGTTGATTTTTGTTTTTAAAACATGAACAGAAGTATTATTCAAAGTGACAAAAAACAATAAAACAACCTTATTCAACCTTATCTAGCATACAGATTTAAGACTGAAAAGTATTTGAATTTACCACCTCTGATTCTAAACAAAGAAATTTTAGCACAGCGACTCCTTTGGGTGCCCTTGGGGGTAGAGCTGGCTAAAAATGTTCAAAGTATCAAACTGTCAACCCAGGGTTATAATTCCAATCAAAGTTATCAACATGTAATATTCAATGTATCATTTGCCATAATAAATTTTGCCCCTGGGGGTCAGTCAGGGCTGATATGTGCATACCATCAAACTGCTATCCAATACTGATAATGCTAACCCAAATTGAATTACTTCCAATGGAAATTAAACAAATGTTCGTCCAAAATGTGATTTCCCTATATAAACTATAGTAAAGTTTACCACCTCCCCAGGGGGAAACGTGAGACCCCAGGGTCAAGAAATTCACAATTTTGGTAGAGCACCTTAAAACCCTTCCATCTATGAAGAGTATTTGATTCTACCATATCTTGGTCTTAAGAAATTTTAGTCAATTTGACCCTTTTTTGCCCCACCCCGCCCCTCAGGCCCCTGGGGACCAAATCAGCCACTTTTTTTGTTGACCATTGGCTATGGAAGGTTTCTGCAAAATTTCATTGAAATTGGTTCAGGGGTTTTGGAGAAGAAGTCGAAAATGTAAATTGTTTACGGACGGACGCCGGACAAAAGGCGATCGCAATAGGTCACTTGAGACTTTGTCTCAGGTGACCTAAAAATACCAAGAACACACAAGAAATTAGATTAAAAAGGAGTTATAATCTACTGATGTATTAAAGAGAACGTGAATATAACACATCAAGTTTGTTTTAATAAAATATTTCTGCAAGCACCAAATACAATATCAAAAGTTAAAAACATTCATTAGGCAATTGCAATCTTTCTGTGTTGAATGTAGTCTAAATAGGGATTTTACAGCATAATGTCTGATTTTTAATTCTTCTTCTTTATACTCATACCAGATATCATGAGCAAATTTAAACATTAAATTTTTGAATACAATACATCTAAAAATCCTGTCTGGATTTACAAAATTCCAATAATAGTCATAACGGTCCATATTTATCATGGTTGACAAATTACTGAAAATAGGTATGAAGATACATATATTTGAAAAACCTACAACCTTAGCCCCTCTTTTTTTTAACTTCAAAGTCATGTCTAAGAATATTTTTGTATGTAAAATTCTACTTACATGTAAGTATGCAGAAAATGTTTTTCATTTTAGATACTTAAAAAAAACCACTTAAACCACAAAATTAAGACCTTCACCAAGAACAATCTTAAAACATTTTTTTCTTCTTTAACAAAATCAACATTTATGTAAAATGCACTGCCACATAACCACAATTACTGCATAAAACATACCCTGTCACCAACACTAATCTAGCAATGCACTGTGCAACACCAACAGACAAAACGTTGGTAAAAGTGTATCTTTCTCTGTACAAAAATACTGTCTAGTGCATCAAAACCTTTTTGCATAAGGTCACATTACAGTATTTTAATGTTTGTTGTTAAAGCCGAGTTTATCTCATGTGTAATGTGAAAACAACACGACATCGATAATGTTTGTATCATCATCAATTATAACTAACGCAAAGGAGAGAGAAACATGGTTAGCTTTTGATTTGAACATTTAGAAGCATTAAATTGCCTGTTTAAATAAATGTAGTTTTCTTTTTGGCAAGGGCACATTACTCAAAAAAAAATCTATATTAACTTAAGTTTGTCAAGTTTGTCATCATTACTCAAATAATTCCGTAAGAATTTACTGGAAGATATAAGATATGTGAAAATGAATTACTAAAATATCTGTCCGACTTAAAAATAAAATGGTTCTTATTCAGAAGATCAGATGGGGAAATTTGAATATAACTAAGTTTTTCAATCAACATTACAAATCCAGTTGGCCATTTTGTGCCTATTCATATGGGAAAATTTGTATTGAGCTTTGATATGACATAAATCCAGTCTTTTAATCTAGGTACACAACACCATAATGCAAAGCTGTAAATAGAATGAAAATTCTGATTACTGTATATAAAGACACCATGATAATGGGCCTGTTATTTCTCACCTGGCTTCACGGTAATAAGGATCATCATACCGGTACCTGTTTAAAAACATCACTCACTTTAAAATTGTGATACTTAAAACTTCTACATTGCCCCGCTCTTTTTTTATCAATGACTACATAATTTGAGTCCAGGTCAAAATGACCAATTCAGTAAATTTCCTTGCACTTTGATGAACCATCCATCATCAATACCAAGTTATTCTCTACTTGATTTTTAATATGCCTGGAAAATTAAACAGCTGCACTGCAGTTAATATTCAATATATGTGCATTACAAATTATTACATATTCATCTTCTACATGGATCTATTATATTTTTTAATGTTTTAGAAATCATAAATTGGCATCTGATTAGGAAGACAAAGTATGATTATCTACAGAACTGTCTACATCAAAATTCATGGAAATTTACTTTTTGATTTACTGTTAGTGGAGAAAAATTGTCAATAATTACAATATGCATGTCTCACCTCGCCTCTGGGTAATACGGGTCATCTTGTGGGTACCTGTTTGAAGAATACAGCTTACTTTCAAACCCATTTACAGATTTAATTAAACATCTCAATTTTCTGTGTACTTCAGAAATGGCCAAATGAAATATTAACCAACAAATCTTTTTTTTATTTACATATAAAATACATTTATAGAAAAAGAGAACAGGCTAAAATTTAGACTAAATTAGTCACTCTGGTCTGCTGCATAGTTTTAATGAAACTTTTTTTCCTATAAAAATCCAAGCTCTCTTAAGACTATTTTGTTGTGATATGTGATGAGTATTTTTCCTAAACAATTGATTGATGTATATGGTTATTATTTCTATTACCACTCCAGGTAACAATTTATTGATGCAATTTATTACAGACTACATATCTAGCTGTAAACAGTGTCAAAGCTAATTAGACCTGCTCTATATCATACTATCAATGCTCTGGAAATGTAAGATGGAATGTAAAAGGGTTTTTTTGGTAGCATTGTTTTCTGCAAGGTAAAATGGCAGGTAATTTGATGCCTGTTTAACATTATTTGATAATGACATGTACAGTTTAATATGAACTTTAACAGGAATTGAGAATTTTAGGATGATTGAAAATAAGGATACTGGATTCACAAATTTAATGCTATAGTAAGTTTATTTCATTCATAAAATAAGTTTATGTATGCCATACAATTATCTAGACACAGATTAAATTCAACTTCTGAGTACAATATCTCGTATTATTGCTTTTATGTATTGAACTTTATAAACTGGGTTAACAAACAGGAAACTTGAATATCAAACATAACAGGGACTGAGAATAAAACACCTTGGATCAGGCTACACCAGAGTACATGGGAACACCACACTCAGGTGGGGATTCATATATACTCTAATAGTTAAGCATGCAAAGTTCAAAATAAGATCATTCCCTTTATTAAGACTCAAATTCATATGAAATACTTAAATTAGCAAAACCTTATTATAGTAATCACAACACTGGCCTGTCCAAGTTGTTTTTCCTCTAGCCTTTTGCATAATCATGAAAACTTGAATAATCATGAAAACAGTGTGGTGCATGTGTTTACCTGGGTCTACTATAGTAATCTGGTGGCGGCCTCCTGTAGGGGTCAGATGGAGGGGCCCTGGGTCGCTCATATGGCCTGTCATAGGGGTCAGGGGGTGGTGGCCTTCTGTCATAAGGGTGATATCTATCCCTCAGATAGCGATCCTCAGGAGGGGGTGGTGGACGTCGATCATCTGATCGTGGTCGCTCAGCACCATACGGCCTATCATAATAGTCATAGGGTGCTGGCCTTCTGTAATATGGATCATATTCTGGAGGTGGTGGGGGACGGCTGTCACTAGGATATCTGTCTGATCCTCCTCTACCTCTACTTCCTCCTCCTCCTCCACGTCCTCTCATAGGACCACCTCCACCACGCCCTCTGCCGCTGTAGGGGGAAAAGATTACATGCAGTCAAAATAACACCTTTTCATAACAGTATTTTAGAAAGTTGCAACAATGATTGGGAAACCAATATCATAGCAAGGAAAAGGGTAGTTCTTATGATTGCTTTTTTTTTGTCGAGATAAGAAACTAAAAAGTATTCAATTAAGTTTAGCATTATAACAATTTTGATCTTCAAATGAATTTGGTTTAAATCCATAAAATCTTTCCCAATCAAGAAAACTTACCGGCCTCGGTCACCTCCAAAACCCCCTCGCCCTCCTTTTGAGGTACCAGTGGACAGCTGTTGAAAAAAAAAAAAAAAGTTCAATAAATAATTTAAATTGCAAAACCAACCAGATAACATCTTTATCAAAAGAAGAACAAGTAAATCTCATTACAAATCTCTAGCACACTTGAATGTAATATGGATCTTTCTTAAAATCAGCCTTTTTCCTTACAGGTTCTATTCAAACAGGTACACATTTGCACCGACACTGATTTAATTTCAGTGTTTTTCTTTATGGTGAAGGAAAATTTCAAAATTAAAAGTTCAGAATCAACTTATTGTTAAAAAGTAATAAAATCATATACAGAGATCATCACATCCCACAAACATAATTTACAAAATGAAACAAGAAAATCTACTCTGTCTTTGCGTATTGCAGAGTTATCTTCTCTTGTGAGCAGGTATTGATTGTTACATCATTGCTTTGTGCGAGAAAATTACGTCATTTTCTCAAAAATTGATGATGTTTCTCTCACAAACAAATGACCTAACAATCAATACCTGTTCACAAGAGAGGATAAGTCTGCAATACGCAAAGACGGAATAACTGACATTGAAACATTTTTTTGAAATGCCAGTGAAACACAAAAATTTGCTCTCATGTTTCTGCCCTTACATACCTCTACACGGATACGGTTACCCTTAACCGTTGTTCCATCTAGTTCCGTTATTGCAAGACGGGCATGGGGCTCATTGGACATGTGCTGAAACAAGAACCATTCATTAGAATCTGATACAGAGGATTTCTTTCCATATACAGCATATAAATTTTACCACTGGGTCCTCACATAAGAATACTTGGAGGTCACAAATTCGCAAAAAAAACTGGCGGTGGACATTTCTTTTCTTAAAATACTAAATAAATGGAGTGCAATAGAAATATTTCATACAAACATTTGTTTGTGATACATTATTATACACTTGTTAATAATGGTAATGGTTTGGTGAAGGGAATTGTACAAGAGCTGGAAACCAACTCGACTCATTTTCAAGAAATTTTGGCCACTCTTGGCAGCAATATCACAAACTAAGACCTGGCTTATGCATTTACTCAACTCAAAAAAGACAATAGTCTTCAGAGGTTTTAAATTGTCTATCAATTCAAAACAGACTTCATAAATTTCATTACCACAAAGCCATAGTTCTTTAGAACGTCGCATTCGCTCACTTCACCATACTTTTCGAAGAGGACACGAATATCGTATGCTTCGGTGTTTCCACTCAGGTTACCGATGAATATTTTTTGCGGCATCCTTTACTCCCATCTGTAAAAATAAATATATAAATTAGCTAAATCTTGGAAATACTACTACATGTATGCTGAAAAAATAGTTTCATAAAGTACTATGCTTATGCCACTCATCTCAGAAATATACATACATCAATATATATATAATAGACAATGTTCTTAATCCCTATACTAAGTCATTTCTTAAAGCGTTTGTATTGTACAAAACACCGATCCATGATTTGTATGAAATTAAAATATAGTTGGTAGGATTTTTTCAGTAGTTTGTGCATATATGCTAAAAAAACAGATGAATAAATGCAAAATTTCTTTTGTGTTTGTATATCAATGTCACTTAAAACTAACTATTTTGAAATGCATCTTTAATGCAAAATGTCTGCCATTACTTAGTTCTGAAATTGAATACTGCATGCATGTGAAATCATGAATGCAGATTAAATGAAAATAGTTAATATTGTTTTTGCTTGATGACAGTTGTACATGTGCATAGGTAGTATTACCATGGTGGGTACATTAACCTAAAACTGTAAATATGATGGAAACAGCTTATATTTCTGGTAATATATAAATTTAGGTTCAAATTTGAAGGATAAATAGACGACAAATACTTACCATTTCATTAGGCATATATAAATATTAAGAAGTTTTTTAACGATTGTTTAATGCTGTTATGTCTCAATAACAAGGTGTTCACTAATGAAAACTGTGATTTGATTTGTTGTCCAGCATGGACATAATTGAAATATTATTTTTAATAAAACATCATATCCTCTTAAATCATACAAAGTTAATACCACAACAGTTAACCTATTTTTTCTAACCTGTTTATCACACTGATTTTTGATAAACTATATCAAAATTTAAATGCAGATTAAAAGTAAAACTACTGACTAATAATTCAATAACTTTTAAACATATATAGTGTTCTTTCTGTGTAATTGGACATGGATCAAATGTAGTTAATTTAAATTTCCTTAAAGCCTTGGGAATTTGAACCAAAGCCAAACAATCAAACATGCACTTACACACAAACACAGTTGTAGTTATAGCAACTTCCTTCATTCTCATAAATATAGCACACTTGTTTTTCATTTCAAAATTGTTTCTTTGAAAAGATAGATAGAAACAGCCTTCACTGAATGAAATCACTATGACAGATTTCAATTTAATGAAACTAAAACTCCAGCGAATAATATGTTTTATTAAGTTCTCCAGCTGTCTGTAAAGGTTTCCTCCTCTGCAGCTTTCATCAGATATTCTGGAAATAAAACAGAAAAAATACACTATATGAATAGCAAAGGGTCCAGATTTCCTCTCAAGAATTTTTAAAAGGATCATAGTGCTTCATCAGAATCGATAGAAACTTTAATTTCAATTTAAGAAAGGCTTATTGAATGTAGTCTTCAAGTGATAAAAAATATGGAAGAGCAATGAATTTAGTGTCAATCCATATAAACAAAATTGTTGAAAATTTCATATTTTAACTGCTATTCTTATTTAAAGAAAATTACCATATTGCGAAAAAAAGGAGACTTAAATAAGAAAGTATTGTCTTCTTAATATGACAAACTGCTATCTAACACAAGACATCCTTAACTTAAAACTGTGAAATGACATTTCACAGAGGACACATCCTAATTAATAGAGTTGAATAACGGCGAACGGCTTTCACATCGACGAGATCAGATGTGAAAATTGTTTCGAATTAAACATGAAAATGATTTTGGTAGCTTCAGAGAAATCTCGGCATCATAATCAATTTATTATTATAATTTAGCAGTAGTTTTTCGTGAGCCGAATTCTGGACAGTATGTATGGATATCACGTGTGGTCATTATCAACTTGCCCTGTCGTCAAACGCGAGGTATATGCATAACCCTAAATATTTATAAATATTTATTATAGAATCCTGTTGACAACTTTTGTCAAAGAAGCTATCCTTAAAAGACTTACCTCTGTTCGGTTCTGATATTCGGTCGCACGTGTCCAGTCGAATCATACGGTATATCGGAAGACCTTTAGCATTTGTATAAACCAAGGAAAGAAGAAAGGACTTCCAATCGGAATTCACATAATCGATCGTATAAAGGCTTTGAAGAGGCTTTAACGGAAGTAAATAATATAACATCAAACCGGAAAATTAACGAAAAACAATGAAATTCTGTGAGGAGCATAAAAATGAGTACAATTCGTTTTTGAAAATGTTTTTTCTCATAAAAACAACTTTCTCACTCATCCATTAATTAAAGGAACTTAAACACAAAGTGATTATTGTTTCTTCATTCCTTTTAAAACAATTGGTTAGAACTATCATATCTTCATTCAAAATAACTGAGGCGTGATTGTAACAGAATCTCCTTGTCAAACACTATTAAACTGGAAAAATGCACTTCCCTGAATTCAAAATTTGTTCTAAATGATGCTACTCATACAAATTTGTATTTGTAGCTAATGGCTAATCACATGGACAGTCCTCAGTCTTATTGCATACATATAACTTACTTGGCATACTGAACCTGTGAGACTTCATCATATTCATGTTTAAGTCCCTTTAACTATATAAAATTATAATGCGATGAATTTGTTTTGATATATCAACAAATCCTTTTCACATTTATAATAACCTGTAGTCTAATGAAAGTAACCAATTCGACTAGGAGTATGAAATTTTCGATTGTGACTTTTATTTGCATCTTAGTTAATATACGGTCGAGAACGGTCAACCTGAACACTCATGTTCGGCAAAAACCTTGAGTTTTAGGATACTAACAAATAAACTCCTTTATTGTAATTATCTGTTGCACAGAGTACTCGAAAGAGTGCGTTGCAGTATTCAGATAGATTGTTAATTTGAAACTTGGAATTTTTTAGTTAAACATTGGTTTTCTTCTCAATCTTGATTTTCATGTCACTGAAAATAAATGGGAAATTGTTAAAAATTTAGGGATGAGAAAATATCGACCAGTTTCAAACTTAAAAACGTCCACTGTGACATCAAACAAAGTCATGCGATCGCGTTTTCGGGCGAATTCGTGGAACCGGTGACTCACCCGATCGATTCCCATCGGAAAGTTGGAAGGAAGAGGGGGAGCGTTTATCATGTTTAGGCCTAATACTCTATGAATTTGTGGAAATTTTGATTCAACTATGAATGAGGCCATCCATGTAGTATAAATAATTGTAAAACGGTCATTATCCCATATGGAAAACGGTAAATTGCTTTTGAAAGCAACAGAGTGCCAAAGAAAATGCATTGTCTTATTTTCGAGCATTCGCCGGCGTCGGCATAACGGCATTGTGCTATACGAAATCATCGTAAAATAGCAAAGGGTTCGAGTTCGATATACATCATTTCCATTTCAAAATGGGTTGTGATGGTTGATAATCAACAGGAATGGCAGACATAGTTTTATATACAAACCTGATGATGTAAATTTTGAAGAAATCTACGAAATTCAGACGAGATCCCGCACAACGTGCTTCCAAAATGGCGGAAATTTGTGGAAGTGACGTCACTGTGAGCTACTCGACATATTTATGAAAGCTGCAATTTCATTGGTCAATTAAGGAGCATTCTACCAATAGCAAAACTTATAATATCATTACAGTGCCAGAGGAAAACAAACCAGCATGGGTCCAAGACGGCATGGACATGGTGGGAAGAGAGGACATAAAAAGCAAAATAGACCAGCTAAAAAACGAAAAACAGAAAACAACAAGAGGTGAAATATAACAAGAATGACCCAATTTTAAAGAAATGATATTATATAGTTAAGCCAGAGGTGACGTGTATTACAAAATAATAGTATACGTATAGGTCCTAACACATCTTAGTCTATATACTACATAGAAGTGTGTGCCCAGCATATCATGATCTGTGTGTAAAACATATCCACAAGAATCTGAAAATTGATGTAGTTCTATTGAGTACTGTAATAATAAACTGTACAAACTGTCCAAAGTAAAAATCAGCCATTCCTATCTATCTATCTATCTATCTATCTATATATTCCTAATTCCTTATTCGAGGTATTCATTTTCTCTTGAATTACTTGCAATCATTGGTGCCTACTAAATCAAGTTGACTCCTTCACAATGCAATCACCAAAATTCAGGTTTCATCACATGTTTTCTCAATTTTTGAAGACTTTCTCATTTTATATGCAGATCATGGAATGACAGCTCACTTTTTTCATTCACGCAAAGAGTAAGACCTATAGCTATAATGTCATTTCTGAGATTCCTTTCAAAAAGTTAAAATCATCATTACTTTGGGGGGGAAAAAATACCTGAAAGTATCTGTAAGACATTCCAAAACTCATTTACATGGACAGCCTCATTTAACAAGAGGGTTATATATTGCCCTAATTGTATGTTAAGTACCATAGAGTTTTATTTCAAAAAAATAAAAGGTTATATAATATTCGAGTTGTCAACTATTTTTCTTTGTAGCAACTTTTAAAATCAAGGTAACGATATGTGTCATTTTCTTGCATGGGCAAAAGGTTATCAGTTTTGTTGAAATAAATTACCTTGATCTTATTCAAGGTTTCAAGGATCAAATATCTTCTCAAGAACCACAAATGTAAAGCTCTTAAACATGTTATTTACTTTACAGCTTGTAGGGGTTAAGAGCTTTTTTAATTGGCTTAATACATTAGCTTGATTGATATGCATATAAAAGGTCACAGATGTCAAATATGTTATAATAATCTCCAAAAAACTTCTTCTAATGCATCCATTGGCCAAAATGCGGAGGTGTAAGGCTGTTGAAATATGAGATTGTTTAAATAAATGTTACCTGGTTAATCACTACTGAGATTGCCTTGGAAGTATTTTGGCTCTGTAAATAATAATATACTAATAGATCAGCGATTCAGGTCCGTTGGACTGTTTGTTCAATGTAAATGTTAAACCATACAAGATTAAACAATTGTCTGTCGCCTCTCAATGCCAATGATTGATCCTGAAAAGTTATGATTGATCATCAGTAGAAACTATCAGTAGGAACTATCAGTTGCACAAACAATCTGATTAAAATCAGCTGTAACATGGCTCTGTTAACTTAATGTAATAGGCGTAGTACGAAGTTAACAGAGTCATGTGGGTTCAGTCCCAAAGCCGGGACATACCAAAGTCCTTAAAACTGGTAGCTGTTATTCCCTGCTGAACATTCAGTATTTAGGGGAATGACAACAACTGGTTCACCTGTTGTCAGTATAATGTGACCAGGCGGAATGCTGTGCTTGATGCATTCAGCATGGTATTATAGTAAGATAGCACTATAAAGTCGGCTTCAGATCCGTGCTATCACAAGGAGGCAAGCACAACAACATACCCAGTCCCTGTCTCCTGCATACACACATGCAAGCACGCATACACTACACACGTGGAGGCACGTCCTTAAATGACCTTAGCTGTTAATAGGACGGTAAACAAAATAAATCAGATTGTAGCACAAACATCATGATTTCGAAGTTGGTAATAGGATTGTATTACAACTAGATATTATTATGTCCCCTGCATCAAAGTATGGAGGGGGGAGGGGGAGGGGTACACTGGAATCAGCTTGTCTGTCTGTAGAAAATATTTTTCTGGACAACTCCTTCTGAGGTAATGGACAAACTTCAAATCAAACATTAAGCTGTTGTTCATATCGTTGTGTACCTCGCTTTTATTTTTTCATTTTGACTCTTTTTAATGAGTTACAGTCCTTTGTTGAAAAATCATAAAAATTATTGTTCAGACAAAACTTCTCCTAAATTTGTTGACCAATTTCAGCAAAACTGTTCAGAACTTTTCTGGATTTATGGCCCTTTGTTGAAAAACCAGATAAATGCTTGTCTGGACAACTTCCATTCTATACTGTTGTACAAATATGGTAACCAAGCCCTGATGTTGTGCATCCATTTTGTTTTCATTCTGACCCTTTTTAATGAGTTATGTCCCTTTCTGAAAAATCAGGGGAAATTATTGTCTAGACAACTCCTCCTAAACTTGTTGGCTGATTTCAACAAAAACCTGATGCATATGACAAGTTCCTTGCAAATTTATAAAACAATTCAATATCAAATTGGGAGCAAGGGGTCTAGTTTGTCTGTTGTCTGTTGAGGTGGATATTGGCAGTCATTCGATTAAGGATGATGATAAATTAGTAAACCATCATAGTATACATTTTGTGAAATAGATGTTATAAAGCATAATCTACCATTTTAATTGTTCCTTTTTAGATCACTGCCACAGAAGCCAGCTGAAACTAGAGAGGCAGCAAAACAGGTTTGTATTTCTATCTTACTATATATGTTTCAAATGTTTACATTACTATGAATGAGAAATCAGTAATTTTTCATGTTTAAATCAAGAGGTATTTAATGTTTGACAATTGAAATCAATTTAAATCTGTCGAGGTTGTGCAATTCCACTAGCCCTAAAGCTGAGACTGGTAGATTTTCTGAAAACTTTTAATATTTACTGTGATAATGTTACATCAGATTCATTGAATTTTTTAAATCTAAATTGTATACTCCTTTAGACTGTCTTATGTTTAACCACAAATAAAGTAGTATGATGTCAGTTTAAGAAAAGATGTAAGTTCTGCAGATCAAAAACAATTAGATTGGAGTTATAATGAAATGCTTTAAATTTCAACTTTGTTGACCACAGATACTAGAATCAAGCTCATCTGAAAGCGAAGAGGAAATCAATGACTACCAGAAACTCATGTTTTCCATCAAGACTTCAGGCGGTGGTGCCACAGGTAATGTGGATCTCAGCAGATGGATTACGTTTCTTTGCAGAGTCCAAGCATCATTAAAGTAGAAAGTGTCGTTATCAATGAAAATAAAACAAGAGATAACCTTGACAATGTAAAGTTGAGTTTCAGTTTTAATTCAGAGTTGACTAGTTTCAAGATACTGTATGAACGTTCTCCAAATTCAAGGGGTTACGCTGCCTTAAGTTATTTTCATTCCTGGAATAGGTCATGAAAAGTCTGAAAGCATGGAATTAGCTTCAGGTATAAAAACCGACCAATTGCTAGGCTCATACCTGTCCTTTGAAGATTACAGAGTGTGACACCTGACTTTAAAGCTGATAAATGTTATTGTTTAGTTGCAAGCAATGTACATCAAAGGATCAAACAAGTCCACTTATATCAATGGAAGGTGGCAGGTACAGAGCCTTCGTTTTCATCATAACATTTTCCAGAGGTACAGAGAACGTCAGTGAGTGTATATATAAGCCATTGAATTTTGAAGACTGTAGGTCATGACTTATCAACAAAAAGAGACAGTCCGGAAATCAATCTTCATTAAAAAAAATCCAACATTTTTTCACAATGATTACATATTCCAATATTAATGGTACTACCCTTTCGTACAATCAAAAGCAAATTTTGCTACCGGTAATTAAATTTATCTTTCTTGTAGAAATGGATGGTTCAGAATCAGGTGATGAAGAGGATGATGAAAAGGATGACGCAGACGGAGATAAATCAGATGAAAGCGAGGATGACAACACAAGTGATGATGAATCTGACGAGGAAAATGAAGACAAAGAGATGGATAGTAACATTGTGAATGGCAAAAAGAAAGAGACGACAACACAAATTGAAGAAGAGGTGGAAGTTATGGAAAGTGATGAAGATGAAGAACATTATCAAATGAAAGAATCGGGTGAGAACAAGTTTTGAGGGTTGCTGTTTTAAGAATTGTTTTGTTATGATCCCTGATGATGATTTTGGTGGTAAAGGGTATTTGGTGGATTTACTATGTGAATACAAAGATGGCCACCAGTCAAGGTCATTGTCCATCACTTTTGATAAGCAGAGACTTTTATGGCTGCAGCTTTTTTTTCAGTTGGTACGATTTTGTTTATGGTAGTTGGCACTAGATAGTCTTCATGGTGAATAAGGACATACTATCAAAATCCCATAATCCAAGATGGCCACCATTGCTTCTGGTTGGCTAAGACCTTTTAGGATATTACTTTTATTCTGTGGGACTAATATACATGTGAACAACCTTATTATCATTATTTCAAAATCCAACATAATTCCATTCTTACTTGAACTTGTAATATTATCAATAAAGGAAATGTTGATATCAAAATATGTTAATCATTTGAATTCCAATTACATTTTTTTCAGATCCTTTCAGTATTCATTTTGAAAATGAAAAAGAAGAGGATTTTATCACAAATTTGGAAAAGAAAGAATCATGGAAAAAATCCAATATAAAGGTATGATAGTTTTGTAACTATATATATCGTACATCTGTGGAGTTATGACAGTTGTCCTAGGTTGTGAAATCACAAATGTGAGATTTCATCACCACTTGATGCTTATGATTTAAAAAAAAAATCAAATGTTGCTGATTAACCATGCTAAAAGGACAAAGTTAAAGGACTGTTTAGTACAAATCAGCCATGGTTATGTTGTTAAATCTATAACCATGTTCTCAGATTTCTTTCACTTTCTATTGGCTGATGGGGATTTTAAATAGTCTGAACATTTGTAACCACAGGTACCACATGTTGGCAGTGCCTCTCTCACAGCCTCCACTCACCAGTCCAAGATCAGCTCCACAGACAGGGACCTAAAGAAACAATATGTAAGGATTATGTAATGTGTTAGAACTAAAATGCCCGTTATAATCATTATACAGAGTGTATCATATATGACCTTGCTGTTGATAGCACACTCACCTGTCATCAAGATGGTTAGGGTTGACTCTAATTGTGCGGATGTGAAAAGGCATCGAATCATCTGCCCAACAACATGGGTTTTCTTCCTGATACTCCAGAAATATCTTGTTTCATCATTGCTGGGAAGGAAATAAACTTCAGATTTTGTTATAACCTTACTTTACCAAATGCCATAGTGGGTGTCTAAAAACTTTTTCTTTTTTCAAGAATGACTATTTAGTTTCTGACTCAGTAAAATACTATGTTCCTTGGATGGTCTCTATCAAAGATATTATTGTAACAGTTGCTTTCCTGTCGTATGAATAGCGTTACTTTCTTACTTTTTTTGAATATCTTTGTCTCTTACACATTTTAAATAAAAGCACCTTTTCTCTGCAGAGAGAAATGTCAAACTTAAAATTTTCACTGATGAAAAATAACTCATTCTTAGATTTAGGGGATGATAATACAGAATACAGAACCCATCATTATAACCATCAATCAGAAGTATTGAATGTGCTTGTTCAGCATTGTCCTTGATTGTAAGGTGATATAAGTCTGACATCCTAAGCTGAGGTCCTGCCACCCAGTATAAAGAGATTGTGATTTTTAAAAAACACTTTTCAGATCAATGGTTTCCTGTTGAGTATCATTAATATTTCATTCCTGTGGCAGTACTTTAATACATTCACTCATGTTTGTACACTCCTGGAACTGTTCAAGTATTTTATAGAGTGCTTTCAACAGGAAACTATTACATATCCTTTAAATGTTCGAAAAAATATGTTTCAATGTTATATCCATGGGCACATAAATTCTGTCTTAAGAGTACAATGCAGCAACTTCATTTCAATTGTAAAGACATATTTGACACTTTTTTTCTCTCAATTTTTAGGTAAAGTCCAAGCTATGTACACAGGTGTTTGAGACAAATAAAAGTCGCTGTAATGTGGACCGAGATCTAGGAGACTGTAAGTTTCAGAATGTGTGTATTTAGGGACACACCCCACCTCATCCTCATTATTGGCCTGGAGGATATAAGTTTTGTTTACCGTTTCTTGATCATTAATAGTCCTGACTTCAGTCATTATATGTTTATAACAATAAACTGTAAACAACATCCATCCACGTTAAATATAAACATCAATTATAAATGTTTGAATAATTAAATTCATAAAATGAGTCACACTATGTTTGAATATTTTCAGATCCATTGAATGGCTTCCAGGAGAACTTATTTAGTATCATCAATAATTACCAGGTAAGATGCACATTGTAAATCTAATGTATCTTGGACAGTTTAGTGAAGTCCAGGGCCTGTTCGTTTATGTGGACCAATTCAACCAGTTGGTCTATTAGTTAAATGTGGTATTTCAGGGGCAAGACCTGCCAGACATGCAAAATGTTAATGCAGGTCTTTGAATGTCTTTGCCAGTGCTTGCCATAAATAAACCATCAAAGCATTAGTCCGTCTCTAATTCATAAACAACCAACTTTGACCCAACCAAACCATTTGGAATTCCATAAATGAAAGTAGCCCAAGCTGTAGAGTATTTTGTTATCAGTTACAATTGTCAACATTTTCCCAAACTTCAACGTATCTTTATGACTAGTTATTTTGATGTCCCCTACAGTCAAACAGTCAATTATTTTTTATGTTTCGTGTAGGAGGTGTTTTCTTAAGGAAACTATGGACTAGTTACACTGACATAGGACTAGCAAATAATCGACCAATCAAAAGTAGTTATTGCCTAACCCTTGCTTGTTCCTTACAGTTTGCTGCACAGGCTGTATTTTAACAGTTTAGTTTATGTGATGTCATTGGTTTCGTTTTTCACTCCCAGCTGATTTACCCTTTGTGACTTTTTCATGTAGATGGGCCATCAAGAATTTAACATGACATAACTTTAACAGTCATGTAGTCAGCTCCATCCATTTATACTTTTGTAGACAACTTCAGCCAAATGCAATAACACTATTGTAAAAAAAAACTTCTACAATAAGCAATATTTTTAAACTTCAACTATTAACACTTGTAGAGAAAATAAGCACTAACATAAAAACCTTCAACCTTTTACACTCTTGTAGGGCAGGCAACTTCAACCAATAATGTCCTTGGTGGCAACTTTAGCCATTAGAGGGTTATGCAGATAATTTAGTTTCCGTGTTTGATCTGTTATATAATAAGCAGTGTGTTTGTTTCAGGATCTGTACCTACCAAACAGAACATTACCTAATGGAGAACAGATCCGTCTAGTCTATTGTCTACATGCTCTCAACCATGTCCTCAAGTAAGTATTGTTATATAGACAATAGTTCAAAATAATGTCTTGTCTTTTTTAAATTACCGGTAAAGGTTCATTTTCATTTGTTTATTGTTATTAAATTGAAATTATACAAGTAAAATCTTTTCTGTTTCAATTTTGAAAAACTGTTGTCTTCTTGCTCTCGACCATGTTCTCGGATAAGTCTTGATATATACTCAATAATTCAATATTATATCTTATCATTTTTGAAAAACAAAGTCTTTATCCTCTTAAGTATTTTGTTATTGAATTTAATACATTGAGATTAAATCTTTTCTATTTTATTTTAAAGAACAAGAAGTCGTGTTATTGCCCATAACACTAAACTGAAGAAACGAGACAATGACCAAACAGAGTATGTATTGGGAGTAGAGTGTACAAAAAGAGTATGTATTGGGAGTAGAGTGTACAAAAAGGCTTCTAAGAACAACCAACATAAAAGTTAATTGGATTTTATAAGACAAATAAGAAGGGATATATATAAAGAAATCTGACCACCAGGGATGAAAAGAACTAAGTGAGTTAATTTTAACAAAATTGTTAACTGTTAAAATGAAATCCTTTACTTTCTGGATTTAGAGATTTAGTGATATACTAAATGATGGAGCTATATAAAAAGTAATATTTTGTGTTTAGTTCCAGTGACTACCGAGATCAGGGCCTGACCCGTCCTAAAGTCCTCATAGTTCTGCCATTCCGAGAGTCTGCCCTGCGTGTAATTGAGATGATGACCAGTCTGTTGATGCCGAAGGACCAGGTAACATATATTTGTTTATCATTAACCCCAGCATGGCCACAGTATGGTTAGTTTACTGTGAAATCTTATAAAAAAACAGTAAATATTTTGTTAAGATATAGAGTCCTAACACTTTTCTACTGTAAATTGGCATTGAAAAAATATTTGTGTTAAGGTTTTGTTATTTATGTTCATACGAAGGTAATACTACACGATAGATCCTGTTAGGGAAAATCATTCCCAATAAAGTTGAAGAAAAGTACTAACATGACTTATGACCTGAAGCACAGTCGATTAGCTTCCTGCTTTATAGTTAAGTGATCCAGGGACTGAATCCCATTGGTAGAAACATTCTTATAGAAAAGAAATTGAAAATACATGTACGAGTATAAGATTGCTGACTTTAAGGGCGTTGACTGATTTAATGTGTTTGTTCATATTTCAGAAACATGTAGTTGGCAATAAGAAAAGGTTCCAATCTGAATACACAGAAATGGATAAAGACATAAAGAAACCACCTAACAAACCAGGTGGGTGACAAGTCTTGTTAACATAATACAGTGTACAAGTAAAAAACAAGTACTTTCCATGATACATGTAGGTACATTAGACAACTGAATGGGTTTTTAGCCCACCTGATACAACACATGAAACATTTTACTCACCTGATGAGTATTTATGAGAGTAACATTTTACTCACATGAGTATTGATGGGAGTAACATCTTACTCACCTGATTAGTATCTATAGGAGTAACATCTGATGAGCATTTATGGGAGTTACATTTTACTCACCTGATGAGTATTGATGGGAGAAACATTTTACTCACCTGATGAGTATCTATGGGAGTAATATTTTACTCACCTGATGAGTATCTTTGGTATTAACATTTTACTCACCTGATCAGTATTTACAGGAGTTTCATTTTACTCACCTGATGAGTATTTATGAGAGTAACATTTTACTTACATGAGTATTGATGGGAGTAACATCTTACTCACCTGATTAGTATCTATAGGGGTAACACCTGATGAGTATTTATGGGAGTAACATCTGATGAGTATTTATGGGAGTAACATTTTGCTCACCTGATGAGTATCTATGGGAGTAACATTATACTCACCTGATGAGTATCTATGGGAGTAACTACCCACCTGATGAGTATTTATGGGAGTAACATCTGATGAGTATTTATGGGAGTAACATTTTGCTCACCTGATGAGTATCTATGGGAGTAACATTTTACTCACCTGATAAGTATCTATGGGAGTAACATCTTTCTCACCTGATGAATATACAATATCATTTTACTCACCTGATGAGTATTTATGGGAGTAACATCTGATGAGTATTTATGGGAGTAACATTTTGCTCACCTGATGAGTATCTATGGGAGTAACATCTGATGAGTATTTATGGGAGTAACATTTTGCTCACCTGATGAGTATCTATGGGAGTAACATCTGATGAGTATTTATGGGAGTTACATTTTACCCACCTGATTAGTATTTATGGGAGTAACATTTTACTCACCTGATGAGTATCTATGGGAGTAATATTTTACTCACCTGATGACTATCTATGGTATTAACATTTTACTCACCTGATCAGTATTTACAGGAGTTTCATTTTACTCACCTGATGAGTATTTATGAGAGTAGCATTTTACTCACCTGATGAGTATTTATGAGAGTAACATTTTACTTACATGAGTATTGATGGGAGTAACATCTTACTCACCTGATTAGTATCTATAGGGGTAACACCTGATGAGTATTTATGGGAGTAACATCTGATGAGTATTTATGGGAGTAACATTTTGCTCACCTGATGAGTATCTATGGGAGTAACATTTTACAAACCTGATGAGTATTTATGGGAGTAACATTTTACCCACCTGATGAGTATTTATGGGAGTAACATCTTACTCACCTGATTAGTATCTATAGGGGTAACACCTGATGAGTATTTATGGGAGTAACATCTTACCCACCTGATGAGTATTTATGGGAGTAACATTTTACTCCCCTGATGAGTATCTATGGGAGTAACATTTTACTCACATGATGAGTATTTATGAGAGTAACATTTTACTAACATGATGAGAGTATTTATAGGAGTAACATCTTACTCACCTGATGAGTATCTATGGGAGTAACTACCCACCTGATGAGTATTTATGGGAGTAACATCTTACTCACCTGATGAGTATTTATGAGAGTAACATTTTACTCACATGATGAGAGTATTTATAGGAGTAACATCTTACTCACCTGATGAGTATCTATGTGAGTTACATTTTACTCACATGGTGAGTATTTATGGGAGTAACATTTTACTCACCTGATGAGTATTTATGGGAGTTACATTTTACCCACCTGATGAGTATTTATGGGAGTAACATCTTACCCACCTGATGAGTATTTATGGGAGTAACATTTTACCCACCTGATGAGTATTTATGGGAGTAACATTTTACTAACCTGATGAGTATCTATGGGAGTAACACCTGATAAGTATTTATGGGAGTAACACCTGATGAGTATCTATTGGAATAATACCTGATGAGTATTTATGGGAGTTACACACTTTACTCACCTGATGAGTATCTATGGGAGTAACACCTGATAAGTATTTATGGGAGTAACACCTGATGAGTATCTATTGGAGTAATACCTGATGAGTATTTATGGGAGTTAAACTTTACTCACCTGATGAGTATCTATTGGAGTAATACTTGCTGAGTATTTATAGGAGTAACATTTTACTCACCTGATGAGTATCTATTGGAGTAACATCTTACTCACCTGATGAGTATTTATGGGGGTAACATTTTACTCACCTGATGAGTATCTATGGGAGTAACATCATATTCACCTGATGAGTATCTATTGGAGTAATACCTGCTGAGTATTTATAGGAGTAACATTTTACTAACCTGATGAGTATCTATGGGAGTAACACCTGATAAGTATTTATGGGAGTAACACCTGATGAGTATCTATTGGAATAATACCTGATGAGTATTTATGGGAGTTACACACTTTACTCACCTGATGAGTATCTATGGGAGTAACTGATGAGTATTTATGAGAGTAACATTTTACTCACATGATGAGAGTATTTATAGGAGTAACATCTTACTAACCTGATGAGTATCTATGTGAGTTACATTTTACTCACATGGTGAGTATTTATGGGAGTAACATTTTACTCCCCTGATGAGTATCTATGGGAGTAACATCTTTCTCACCTGATGAATATACAATATCATTTTACTCACCTGATGAGTATTTATGGGAGTTACATTTTACCCACCTGATGAGTATTTATGGGAGTAACATTTTACCCACCTGATGAGTATTTATGGGAGTTACATCTTACCCACCTGATGAGTATTTATGGGAGTAACATTTTACCCACCTGATGAGTATTTATGGGAGTTACATCTTACCCACCTGATGAGTATTTATGGGAGTAACATCTTACCCACCTGATGAGTATTTATGGGAGTAACATCTTACCCACCTGATGAGTATTTATGGGAGTAACATTTTACTAACCTGATGAGTATCTATGGGAGTAACATTATACTCACCTGATGAGTATCTATGGGAGTAACATTTTGCTCACCTGATGAGTATCTATGGGAGTAACATCTTTCTCACCTGATGAATATACAATATCATTTTACTCACCTGATGAGTATTTAATATCATTTTTCTCACCTGATGAGTATTTATGGGAGTAACATTTTACCCACCTGATGAGTATTTATGGGAGTAACATCTTACTCACCTGATGAGTATCTAAGGGAGTAACATTTTACTCACCTGATGAGTATCTATTGGAGTAACATCTTACTCACCTGATGAGTATTTATGGGAGTAACATCTTACTCACCTGATGAGTATTTATGGGAGTAACATCTTACTCACCTGATGAGTATTTATGGGGGTAACATTTTACTCACCTGATGAGTATCTATGGGAGTAATATCTTATTCACCTGATGAGTATCTATTGGAGTAATACCTGATGAGTATTTATGGGAGTTAAACTTTACTCACCTGATGAGTATCTATTGGAGTAATACTTGCTGAGTATTTATAGGAGTAACATTTTACTCACCTGATGAGTATCTATTGGAGTAACATCTTACTCACCTGATGAGTATTTATGGGGGTAACATTTTACTCACCTGATGAGTATCTATGGGAGTAATATCTTATTCACCTGATGAGTATCTATTGGAGTAATACCTGATGAGTATTTATGGGAGTTAAACTTTACTCACCTGATGAGTATTTATGGGAGTTAAACTTTACTCACCTGATGAGTATCTATTGGAGTAATACTTGCTGAGTATTTATAGGAGTAACATTTTACTCACCTGATGAGTATCTATGGGAGTAATATCTTATTCACCTGATGAGTATCTATTGGAGTAATACCTGCTTAGTATTTATAGGAGTAACATTTTACTCACCTGATGAGTATCTATTGGAGTAACATCTTACTCACCTGATGAGTATTTATGGGGGTAACATTTTACTCACCTGATGAGTATCTATGGGAGTAACATCTTTCTCACCTGATGAGTATTTATGGGAGTAACATTTAACTCACCTGATGAGTATTTATGGGAGTTAAACTTTACTCACCTGATGAGTATTTATGGGAGTTAAACTTTACTCACCTGATGAGTATCTATTGGAGTAATACTTGCTGAGTATTTATAGGAGTAACATTTTACTCACCTGATGAGTATCTATGGGAGTAATATCTTATTCACCTGATGAGTATCTATTGGAGTAATACCTGCTTAGTATTTATAGGAGTAACATTTTACTCACCTGATGAGTATCTATGGGAGTAACATCTTATTCACCTGATGAGTATCTATTGGAGTAATACCTGATGAGTATTTATGGGAGTTAAACTTTACTCACCTGATGAGTATCTATTGGAGTAATACCTGCTGAGTATTTATAGGAGTAACATTTTACTCACCTGATGAGTATCTATGGGAGTAACACCTGATAAGTATTTATGGGAGTAACACCTGATGAGTATCTATTGGAGTAATACCTGATGAGTATTTATGGGAGTTACACACTTTACTCACCTGATGAGTATCTATGGGAGTAACACCTGAGTATTTATGAGAGTAACATTTTACTCACCTGATGAGTATTTATGGGGAGTAAGAAAAATCAAGCCTCTGTTACACTGTATTTGTGTTATTGCTGATAATTTCTAGATATTGTTTTAAAATATTTACAATAATAATAATTTGAGGTTGTTATATACCGCTTTATCACAACCTAGTTTGTAGGTCGTCTCAAAGTGGTTCCCAAATTATTATCTGTTGTTACAACATGTAGTACATTGTATATGTAAATAAAAGTCTATCATATGACCATTTACATATCCTACCCTGTATTAACCTTTGACCAATATCAGACCCTTTTGTTTATATGGATGTCTCAGATTGTTACAGGGTAGGGTATGGAAATAACCATATAATAACCTCTAATTCTTGCAAGTATAGTGTTTAATAAATATGAAAAGTAAATTATTTTATGCAAACTTTAGCAAAAGAATGTCTTTATCAGCCTCCTGCTTAATGTAACCAGGTTGCATAGAAGAATAAATCTGTATTGATGTGAGATAGGGATTTCACATGAGGGTTCATCATTATGTTTTAGAAACCTGAGGGTGGAATATTCCTGTACCATATTAATTATTATTATTCTCTAAGAATTTATATGTATTTATTTAACTCTCATATTATATTAAATTTGTGGTATGACTGAATTCATTTTGGTCGAGTGGCCTCAATTATTACATCATTTAATTGTCATCACACGATACATCGTATATGCAAGACAGAAGAATCATGTGATGCAAGATTTATTCATGCTACGTCAATGTCTGTCATGGGTTATCTCCCCTGGGTATGGAAATAATGATAGTCGTACTCAGAAATCTTCAGTTTTTGGGTCTAAGCTAAGTAACCCTATCTCTGCTATTTGTCAGAAAGTGTTGCAAATGGATTTTTTTTTTACATTTTTTGTTTTAATTTTCTTGCAGCTGAATATGATGAAATATTTGCTGGAAATATTGATGACCATTTCCGTTTAGGAATGGGTGTGGCCAAAAACACCCTTAAACTGTACACACCTTTCTACGCTTCTGACATCATCCTGGCTTCACCTCTCGGTCTACGCACAGTGATTGGAGCTGAAGGGTAACTTTCCTCTTCACAGCAACAGTTCATAGCCGTGTGGCTAGTCAGTACAGAAACTCTCTATGGCATTGTATAACTAAAATGAAATCAGTAGCTTCTAAAAGATAATCTCTATAATTACTGACATACTTGCTAGCATACAACATACAATAATGCAGGAAAAAAAGCGTAATACAAGCACTACATATTCAAGTTGGATATGGATGGAAAATTACAATCATTTCTTGGTCAAAAATTTCTTATGCTTCACATACAGTGGTTGATTTCTGCCAGTTGTATTTAATAAGTTGTTTAAGTAAAAGCTAGATCACATTTGTTCTCTTTCTGTAGAGATAGGGAACGTGACTATGACTTCCTGAACTCCATAGAGATCCTCATATTTGATCAAGCTGACATCTTCCTGATGCAGAACTGGGACCACATTACAGTAAGAATTAATTATCTATACACCGAATTAAAACATTTAATTGATTAAACAGTAATTTGTTTGTCTCCAGCAAGGAATTGCTTGATGAAAATCAAAATCTGTATTGAATTCCTCCTATAGTAAACTAACTTTTTAAGACTCCTGAAGTACATCATAAGCATGTTTACTATGAAACAAATATGAATTCTACTGAATTTTGAGCCAAGGCTCAGAGGGCCTATTTATTGATGTGATATTTGTGTATGTATTTCTACAGCACCTGATGAAGCACCTCCACCTCCAACCATCTGAAGCTCACGGTGTGGACTTCTCTCGTGTCAGGATGTGGACTGTTAATGGCTGGTATGGCAGCTCTTAATATTTTGTTTTAATTACAATCAATCGTATTTTGTGAATCAATTACTGAATGCATTTTGGTGATGCTGAATTTGCCCTAAATTTAACACTTCACAGACTTTCATAATATTCTCCCCTACATTAGGTAAAAAAAAAATGCTCCGTCCATATTTAGGTTACCACAATCGCTACACAAACAATTTTTGCTTAAATGATGCAACTAAAATCGCTGTGCTGAATTCATGTTGCAGAAGCTATATTTGACCGTCAATGACGTGATAAAGATGAAATGAGTTCATCCATGTATCAGGTTAAATTGCAATAAATTGGATAAGGTCTTATCCTGATATGAGGGTAAAAAGATTGGGTTTTTTCTGTATCTGGATGAATATAATACCTACATTGATTATATTTGCATCAATGATGACCCCTATGCTAATTAAGTGTTGCGGATGCGGATTTTATCTGGGCATCTTACCGTAACTGGTCTACCAATCAGGAGATGTTGATGAGTGTCCTTTTGTTGACTTTACAAGGGACCATGCATTAATCTTTAAGCCTACTGGGAGCCCCACATTAGTCACTGATTCTACCAATATCATACATTAGTTGGCTTTTATAATCATTTTATATACATAATGGAAGCAGCTGAATAATTCTTATTCAGATATCTGCTGGGGTTATTGTATTAATAAATGTTTGACCAATTCTTGACACAAGCAAAAACATAGATGGCTTGTTTTCTATAACATTTATTTGGTTTGGTTTTGAATCTTTTTTTATTTAAACTTTTTTTGTTGTTCAGGTCCAAGTTTTACAGACAGACCCTGATGTTCAGCTCTGTGGCAGCGCCTCAGATAAACGCCATCTTCAATAGACACTGTTCCAGTATCCTTTTTCTAGCTATAAACAATCACAAAATAACACAGATATCTATCGTATATTGATACCATGTAACGGATGAACATGTAATCAACTCTATTGATATCATACTCTTTGTATTGTACAAACGATGGTTTTGAGTATCTTAATTTTCGATTGTTCAAGTTATTAAAATTGTGTGGGAGTATTTATTACTTTGTTAACTTAGATAAAGACTATTCCAGCACTTATCATACTTATGCAGTTTTTTTGGGAAAGCTATAATTCCTGAATGATGCATTTTTTTATTCCAAGTTCTTCTCTCACATAGGTGAGTAAAGCTGATTGCTCATTTTTGCCATACTGTGGTCTCATCTACGACTTAACAGTTCTTTTCTTCTCATTCTTCATTCTCATTGGACAGTTTGTCCTTTCAGCTCTTCTTCTAATCCTATCCTTATTTGTCATTCTCATTGTTTAAATATATTCTGGATTTTCTCAAGTTGTAATGAAACTAAATAAAATCGTTTGGTTTGTTATGATGCTTCCCACTCATAGGTTTTTAATGAAAGTGTGCACTCATCATTCAGGGATTATAGACAGTTTATCGTAAAGAAAGAAGCCCTTAACATATATATCAGATTACGCAGGCAAAGTGATGGTGACACGCCCAGACACCAGTGGGGCAATCTGTCAGATTGTTACACAGCTACCACAGGTACAGTTATAAGTTGATGGAATAAAGCTGCAATAGGAAAATAGGTGGTGTCCAAAAATGTATCAACTAAGTTAGTTATTTTAATAACAAATGTTGTTTTTTGAGTGAAAGTCAGTGGATAGCGTCATTTCACTGAGGAGTTGATTCTTAGATGAAGAGAAGAACAATACAATGTCCTCTTTTTAAAACCAAGAGATTCCTTCAAATGACCCTGAAGAACACTTTACAAGCAGACGATATATGTGTAACAGGAAAGGAAAAATGCACGGCCCGACCGAGATTCAAACCCGGGACCCTCCAAACTCTAGATGGATGATCAACCAATTGAGCTATCTGGTCGCTGACGATCGACCCAGTCCAGTTCAGCAATAAATTTTATCTTTAATGGGTAATATTCACTTGAAAAAGATTTACAAATCTCATGAATTCAGAGATTGTTTTCAAGACTTTTTTAGGTTTTCTCTTATGCATACATTGTTTTTAAACGCCTTACTGTAGCTCCTCAAATTTGAAATATTCTCCTTTTATTCTGTTTCTGCAGACTTACCACAAGATAAAGACTTCTAGTTATGCCTCGGCAGCTGATGACAGATTTGAATTCTTCATCAAGAAGGTAATTATATATTGTATGCGTTGCTAGTGGTGAGGGATGTATGTATTATTTGCACAATTTAACATCTTTATTTTTGGATGTATCGGCCTCAATGGAATTTGTATTCCTCATTTTCTAGTGTGATGTTCAAAACTTGACAAACCACTTTAGATAGCGACATTTCTGATTGGTTGAATTAGTGATGTGCAACCTGGAATCATGAATATGGCCGAGTTTGATCATCAATTATTGTGACTAGTCTAACTGAAATATGAGAAAAATCATTTTGGTAATACCCTAAAATCTCAATAATAAGCCGGGCTTATTTTCATTTTCAGTAAGGAAACCTAGGCTTGTTTTCAAAGCCAGTTTATTTTCAAGGCAGTTTCATTTTGGAAGTCATTTAGACAGTAAGCCATTATGGCTTATTTTCAAGTCGTTCTTTTTTCACGAGAAACATAATTATTTTGATGAATTTAAAACTTTTGTTTTTTTATCATATTGTAGAAATAATAAATAATATAATGTGATGGTAGCCTGTAACACATGTTTTAGAATGTGGTTCCTACCTGGAATCTAAGGTATATTTTCAGGGCTGGCCTATTTTTATAGACCGTTCATTTTTTAGATATGTTTGACTGCAATGAATTCAAGGCATATTTTCCTTATTGCCAAAATTTCAATTCAGGCTTATCATTAAGATTTTAGGGTATGCTATGTGCATGACTGTGTAAATAATTTAAGACACTACAATGTGCATGTCTTGATGACTATGGTACAGGCTATGATTTCCTTTTTAGTCATGCCAGAGCAATTAGTCTCCACATACATAATCATTCAGAAAAGCAAAGTAGTGATTGGCATTTGTTTATCAGCATGTGTAACTACCTTTAATGTTACAGTACCGACATGGTGAATGGTTGATGATCAAACTCGGCCTGTGTAGGCTGTTTAATTATCTCCCCTCTTTACTGTGTTACATGTATCGGTTTGGTCCCGTCTCTGTAGATCCTCCCTCAGCAGAAGGAAGCACTGAAAGCACAGACAGTCCTGTTCATCCCGTCCTATTTTGACTTTGTCAGACTACGTAACCACTTTGTCAGAGAAGATTTGGACTTTTCACAAATCTGCGAGTGAGTATAAGAAAAGAAATATACATTTAGATAAATTTATTTATTTACTCTGATACATGTACCATAGTATACTTTAAATGCAATAGAAAATCTGATTTATTTTCTATGATAATAAGCTCATGTAGGATAACACAGTGTCAACCATCACATACTGAGGCGGACCATTCTGCTATAACAGTCTTTATTTTTTCCTTAAGCCTATGCTGACAAACATCCTACAAAGAAGCTCAAATACAGAACGTTTGGATGTGGCTGAAGTTATTGTGGTTTCTAATATAATCATGATGCTGAAGAAACAATTACTTTAGCAAAAGGCCAAAAGTGTTTCACGTTATGTCAGTTTCCAATTAAATTAGATTTAAAATATTTTCGCGACTTCATTTGACATCCAACTTTAATCAAACTTGATATAATAGTGTTGGAGAATTTCTTGTCTTTTTATAGTGATATGTTATTATCCATGCCTTTTTTGATAAGATTTCACTTTTCATCCAAGCATAAGAATTATACTCGACATCGTAAAAATTGTTTTGGTCAATTAACTCATCTTGGTTAGAAGTCTATAAAATTGAAAAATTACCAAAAGAAGCACTAGGTTATTCTCAATATGTAAGCCATATTTCATCAATTTTTTACTTAAAACAAGACCAGAAAAACTAATTTTTGGAAAGGAAATTAATATAGAATCTAATGGAAAATTGACATAATGTGTACTAGTTACTGACATCATGGACTGAATCGGTGAATGAGGCTAGGCGGAAGGATTTGCAATCTCTCTTTGCAATACAAGCACACCAGGGTTTATAGAGTCTGATAATGGTACATAATAATTTTCACCTAACAGACTCATTACAACTTCTTTTACTGTCTATAAATCAGGCATTTTTTACTGGTATTATTTTATACTGAATCAAATGGATGACAAAATTTCAGATATTAATGGCACTTTCTAAGTATATGTTTAGATATTTCTCCTCTGGGAGTATGCTCGGTGGGATATTAAATCGTTCAAGGGCTTTCGGAGAATGGTATCATTGATGTAGTCTAGAGATAATAAATCATAACTCTATTAATCTTTTCATAGGTATTCTAGTGACAAGAATAACTCTCGATCAAGGAGCTACTTCTTCCATGGAAATGCCCACTTCCTGTTGTACACAGAGAGAGCACATTTCTTTAAGAGGTGAGTTAAGTGGAGTGGTGATAACAGCATTGCCTATGTATTTACAGTAGAAATGGGGAAAACATGATTTAGATTTATATACATCTTGAGGATAAGACTTCAAAAACATTCTTTTGTGCTCAAATTCATGCAACCTTTCTTTTTCAGTTTTGAAAAAATTGTCCATTGTAGTGAATTTAACAAAAACGAAAAATAAGAGCAAGAAGTGGGATTAAGGGTTGTAAAGTGTAAAGATATTTCTCAGAATAATATCATTTTGATTAAACGGGACATATGACTCTCATTGACAAACTTTGAATAGTTAGCCTGAAAACATTCTAAAAGATATTCATAATTTTACAATAGTTTAGAAATATATTATGAGTATAATTTGTTTACAGATTCAAGGTACGTGGTATCCACCACATCGTGTTCTATGAGCTACCTACGTACCCACACTACTACAGTGAGCTGTGTAACATGATCCAGGACCTGCGCAGTCTGAAGGAGGGGGACACATGTACTTGTACTGCACTGTACACACAGTATGATGCCCAGAAACTGGCGGACATTGTGGGCACCAACAGGACTTCTATTATGATAAACTCAACCAAAACCACACATATGTTTGTAACCGGAGACAATACGTGACATCATGTAAACGTATAGTCAGGAAATATATTCTGTACAAAGTTTCAACTTTTAATAAGGTGTGCAAGTGCAATTAGTTTTGAAAAACATCATCCTGAACCCTGGACTGCAATTTCACAGGGACTCCAACTGCAGCTGATGACAATTTTTAGAAAATAAAACAATTTTGAGACATTCTAACTGGTATGTCCAACTGGCAAGTTAAAATTACCAGATTGCATGTAAATATGTCTGCTGTCAGTATTGAGGCCATCATTTCAAATTAAGTGAAGGACTCTTACAAAAAATATAAATATTATTATAATGGTGCTTGGATTAAACTGTTGCATATTTAACTTGTTGTGTTGTCAGAGAAAGTTATGTATAAAGGAACAGCTGTACAATAAAATTTTATGTCACATTTGTAAATTGAAAATGTTTTGTTTTAAACATTCATCATCAGCAAACATAAGATTATATCTCTCAATGACACACACGTTTCACCTCGGTAAATGATAATATGTAACAGCTTCAAAAGGTCAATATTTTTCACACACATTGTTCACTTTATCCACGCACACTCATAAAGAAAATTGCACCATTCTACATGACCCAATCCTCTAATCTCTGGTTTACAAAGAGACCCCAATACACTCCCGATACTCCGATGGTGAAACAGAGAAATCGCCGACCCTCGGGGTGATTATTTGGTTGTCTAACCTTTGGGGTTGGACAACCAAATTAATCACCCCTGAGATTGGAGGTATCTCTGTCACATCCTCTAGGTAGGAGAGAATTCTATCAATTCCAACAGATTCATACAAAACAACCGTTGAATTACAAATGTTAGTGGAGGATATACTCAAATTTAGAGATGTTTACAATCTCTTTAGTCAGTCAAACTTCACGTTAAGATATTTGCAGGAACTGATGTTTTACATGTCGGGATTCACGTGTTGGAAACCGATGTCTGAAGTCCAATTATGTATATCCAATGTCGGGATACACACAGTATGATAAACTGAAGCCCCAATGAGGTATTTTCATGTCTGGATAGAGGCATTGTGATAAAGACCCTATGAGGTGTCGATCACGGAAGAGCCATCTCCGTCTTTCGATTTAAGAAATAGAACTAAAGGTTATAGTGTAATTGTTCCCTGGATATCACATATAATCTTGATGTTTGCAAAGATAACAAGAAAACGCTCCACACATTGTGTATTCTTCTCTCGTTAATCAGCTCTGGCTGTAGTCTCCCGAGATGTGTGTGGCAACATCGTTGACCCATCATTATGTCTCTATCTCACTTCATCATTAGATATTTCTTCAAAGATATATCCTTTAACATACTACCACAGTTTTCCCTTTTTTACATCATCATTGAGCATGTCTGACAACAGTAGGCTCCTATAAGATTATGGTCACATATGAGGCTTCGTCCATATTTCTTGGCAACAAATGTACAGTAAGCAGGATCTTTGTCTCCGGTAGGGCATTCTGAAATGTGAAGAAAAAAATGATACAGTCTATAATGGTTACACATTGCTTCTTATATATGATGCACAACTTTATTTAATAATAGGATATAACAGCTATATACCTTTTGAAGCGGTTGGCTTGATGAAGTTAAACTCGGTTTTCTGGTTCTGTATTGTAGATGGTTCCAAACAGTTACCTAGGTGACATATCTAGGAAAACGAAAAACGAAAAATCCAAATTATTTTATTTTAGATAAAAGGCCGACTTGGAATGAAAGCCAACATTTATATGAAGATGTACCCAATATGTAATTAGGTGGGGGCGTCTTAGGCTGGAAGTTTGAAATTAAATAAAGTATCAATTAGTGTGCGTGCGTCGATGATAACCCTATGATTTCAAACCATGCCCAAATAACAGTGTTCTCTACGTTTGAGTAATGAAAATACACTGCTCACACCCAGAGACCCACTTTTCATTAGTGACTTTGGTAGATTATAGACTAAATAATACACTGTTTGGAGAGCAATTCTAATCTTGATACGATGCGTTGAAATAAATGGAGTGTAAATTGGTAGACATGTCCACTCGCCTTGTTATGTGAACAGATCGTTCCCGGTAGTGCCACCAGACGCGACTTGGTCTGGCAGATCCGAGCATTACCCGGATTGGTGCACCACAGTTGCCCACACACGTTGTCAAAGCGACCAGGACGCTGAAGGAAAACAGTTTAGTCGGATTACAGCATATTTGTTACAAACATGACACCATATAAATTTAATGACGATTACAAAAAGCGTTTGAAAATAATACTTGTAAGACGTGGGAAACACCAAAACAGAAAGAGAGCCTGCATGAGGAAATGTGTAACTATTTGTTTTCTCATTTATGATATTAACGTTACCTGACAGAAATCGGACTTCGGACCAAACACCATCTGACACTGTTCAGTGAGTCCGTATATGGAACCAGGTGATTTATTGCCCACCTGGTTGTATGGCTCTCTAGTTCCTGCACTTAAACATTCTCTTCGTGTTCTATAAATTGTAAAACGATAGTAAAATATAGTTAGAATGAAAATTTATGATAAAATACTGAACAAATTATGAAAGTAAGAAAGTATAGTATGCAAGCACTCTAGTTTGTATGAATAGCATGGAAACACTATGTGTTATGCGTCATCTAAACACAGGTACTAGCCTCGTCTGTCAATATACCTATACTATAGTCATATTATAGGTGTATTGACAGACGATAGCATACCAGTGATCTAAATGTAATATTCTAGAACCTTGATCGGAAATTTATTTTAAACAGTGACCTTCCGGAGTATTTAACGCCATTACATCTGTTGGCATTTTATCATCTGCACCATTTTCACGAATGTTCCTTACCTTAAGGAAATTCCTAAGTTTTTTCCATAAGAAAAAAGGCGGAAATTAACCCTAAACCAATCATGAAACGTCGTAAATAAAGATACCTTCGTGAGACTGGTCTACTTAAATTTGAAATTAATATGTACCTTACAAAAGTCTACACCGACCGAGATCGTACCTTTATTTTAATGAGAATGTTACGAATATAATTGTGCATGTTTCATTTAGCCATGGTTAGGTATATGCGTCGGTCTTTAACTGGAAGACGACGACAACCGAACAGCTACGAAAAGGAATGGCGAATCAATGGATGTTCATTAAAAATGAACGACAAGTACAAGTCGATGAAAAAGCCAGCGTATTTAATATATGGAGGTGTAACTATCTAAACACCAGTGTACTTACTGAAGGTGAAGTGTCATCTGTTTAATACTGCATTCCGAAAAGTAGAACATCGACGTTGTCGCTTTGCTTTTGATGCTCTGCCTGGGAGACATTATGTTGTCGAGGTTTGCTGAACAGCCGTCATTAAGGTAGTCTCCGTCGTGTGTGGCACCTAAACTGTATCATCAGTAACATTTCATCTCATATATTATAATTCTATGACCTTTTGATAAAGCATCAGGAGTGATTTATTTGTGAGGATTTCATACCAGTGTCCGCAAAATGATACGATTATATTTTGTCATGTAATAATGTGTGATGTTACGTAAAAAGATACCGTTACTAAAAATGTTATATCTGTCCATACCTGTGCCCAAGCTCGTGAGTGGTGATTCCAACAGCAAGAAAATCCCCATTGTCATATACAACAGAAGACGATTTCCCTTCCAAACTTCGACATATCGTCCCGATATAGGCCAGACCTGGACGACACAATACATTCACCAATAAACAAAACTACGCAAAACGTCTTCTATGTCTTTAATTAGATAAAAAAAATGTAGGTTGTAAATATATGTGAGGATGCAGGTTTTGAGGTACTGTTGTTGCAAGGAAATTAAACTTATTGCGTAATGTACCCACTTTTCGAGGCATAGGGATATAAACTGAAGACACACTCACACATGTGAATGCAAATATAACGTTTTGTAATAGATGATGCAGTGTATTTATTTTTGTTATAATGTAGCTATTACCAAAATTTGAAAGATCCAATCACTTGTCTGTGTGTTACGTTTTTCAAACAAAAAGGAATTCAAAAGGGCTAAAAAAGGAGGGGAGTTGTCTGAACTACTGTTGAAACAGAAGAGGAGGTATGTAAAACCCTTACTTCCAATTGTATATGTATTTTAAAACAACAGAAGAGAACATGATAATTTCAAAATCTTATAATCTGTTAAGTGTGTATGATATGAACTATACCACTACTCAAAATAGATTACTATGAATGACTCTCAAGATAAATCTTGGGTACTAAGAAATCCACTTTCAGAGTTTACCACCTTGTATCTTGAAAAATGCACCTAGTACGCACAGAACTCCAGTTTTATAACTTACCGTCAACCTTTCTTTTCCCTTTATATAACCGGTGTCTGAAATGTAAAAAGAAAACAGTACTCGCACTAATTAAACTATGCGCTAATATCAAAATCACTTAGCATAGCATGTACTCGAGTACCTGCTGATGTGCTGAAATAATGTCTATAATTTAAGGAAAACGATGACACTTATGTTATTATCAATTTGCGTTCGAACTAGACTTCGATGAACATTCAATTTGCGATCCGTCAAACTGGTTCAAAACAACAAACCCTCTTACCCAGTGAAAGCAACCGCGTGATCATAAGTAGGCAGATCGGGATATTTCCCACGGAGCCACATCTGGAATTTTTGAAGGGCTGTATCCACATTTACTACACCTTGGCGGACAGTCCGAGGCCAGACAACAGAGTTTTCCAGCCAGCTGGCTTCAGCCCGATTCTGACCACAAAAAGAGGTCTTAGGATACTAATACACAAGTACATTCATAATATCGCGAAAAAACACCAATTTATTCTTATTTGGAACCATTGTTCTTTCTTTTCACTAACCGTGATCGTAAGCAATCACTTTTTCGCAACAAAAAAAACCCCACTTCATATGAAGTTTGAGTGACCAAAGGGAATTATGACTTATTGCACGGAAAGAAATCGGTACATTGAAGAACTTAAATAATTATGATCAAAAGAGACGTAATGAATTTAAATTTAGTTTAAACATATTTTATTGCCAAAAAATGCAAGAGGATTGGGCACAAGTTACATGAACATTATTAACGCCCTTTCCTTATAAGATAAATAATTGTATATACACATCATAAGATGGATTTCATAGTTTAAATCAATACATTTATCTATTATTGGGAGAGAGAGAGAGAGAGAGAGAGAGAGAGAGAGAGNACATTTCAACTCTTTGATCAGTATATATACTGCATGTAAAAAAGAAATGATGAGCATTTTCATTAGGATATCCACATGCACAAATAGGAGAGTTGATTAGGTTAACATTAAAGAGATCATCATTTAAAGGGCTGCATTTATGACGGAGTTTGGTTAGTAAAATATTTAACTTACGGTCACCGGCTAAATAAAAAACAGGCACTTTAAATGTTTCATTTTGTTTTTTGAGGCAGTTTGTGAAGCTCTTAAAAGAATGTGCAGTTTTAATATTAGTGTCAAGCTCATTCCATAGTCTTAAAGTAGAAGGTATGAACGAGTTGAGTGAAGATTGTAAGCGGAAATTAGGAATGGAATAGTTCTCAGAGTTTCTCAAATTATAAGGAGTTCAAGTAGCTACTAGTGGCGGGAGAAGGTCAGTTTAAAGGTAGCTATAATTTTATAAACTTAAGTATAGTATGTTACGAAAGTGGCATTGCCATGTATAGCTGTTACACTCTTATATATTTTAAAACTGGTCAAGTATTAAGTCTGTATTTCTCAGACGCTTGCATACCTTTGGAATGACAATCCCCACCAAACTAACGTGAATAGCCAGCGATGGAGAGTGGATGGTGGAGAAGCGCTGGTCAACCTGCAAAATCAGTTCAGTGGAAAAAGAGCTTAAATCAAAGCGTTCTTAGTATATTCTATGCATCATAACTGACTAATATTCTGTCCGATTAAAACCGCCATCATTGACAAATAAATAAATACACATGAAAATATCATAAATAAAGACGCAACATCAAGTGATACAACAAAGACATCTGCAAAACCTGTGATATAAGACAGTTGATTTACGCACAAAATACAAACTATAGATCTAGAAATGACAAATAGTAGTTATTGATATTACCATGGAGAAGAGAATGCGATAGTATCGTTCGATCTGCATTTGCGCTTCCCTCTTGTTGTTGCGATACTGTCGGAGATATCTGCGGTAAAGACAGTAATCCACTACTGCCAGTACCTCGACATTAGCCACCACACGTTCGTCACCATCTCCTGGCATACCTAGATGTATTTAATGGTCAAACAAAATAACGGGAACAACTTTATACTGATAATAAATTACTAAAAACTCACTTAAAACACGTCCATAATTATATTATCAATTTTAGCATTATCATTGAGTAGTGTTTTCCGGGTGTGCCTCTGTAATTAGATATTTGATAACATTATTTGGGTATATGATAAGGTTCCATCAACAAACTACAGAACAACAACCAGGATACAAAATGAGTTAAACTATCCTGGTATTGTACTCTCCCATCTTAGATTACTTTACACAAAATTGTCATTTATTATGCGTTAAATATTGACATTTAAAACAAAAAGTCTTTGAAAAGGGAATCTTTATGATTTAATTCAGACAGGAAACAAAATATTTTTTAAAGTAAATTTTCAGATATTTTTGAACTTTTAACGCCTCGTGAAGATTTCGCTAGGCCTTGAACAATTTGACCCTGTAGTATAGACTATGGTACATACTTATGTAGGTCATGGTTAATCTATAGCCCAACTTCTGACATATAAACACTTAAACAATCAACAACACTATTATGTATTCATACGTTTGAAGGTCTCTGCTGTTCAATCTGTAGCAGATTCTACTGTATTTACATAACCTACAATACTCGTTGTCATATGATCATATACTTACGTAAATCTTGGCCAATCTGCAGTACAGTATCTCCAGTATCAGCATTTATATAATCTACAATGTCTTCTTGTGCGGCGTCCTCCCTGCGGAGGAATTTCCAGGCAGTCGAATCATCGGTGCTCGTCTGTGGGGAAATGAAAAAGTTGGGAATTCGTGGTTGTATTTCATAAAAACAGTTAAAAACATCGCCGTGACTCATTCTGAGGAGAATCGCATGTTATTCATTCACAGACACTAAACAACTGTTTCATATGGCAAGCCAAGTTGTCGTTTAATCATGGAGCAATGTTGATCCAGTACTTAACCAAATTATATAAGATATCTTATATATTATATAAGATATCTTATAAACATATAAGATATCTTATTTAAAGTTTATGAGATATATTATATCTTTTATAAGATATCTAATAAAAGATATAAGATATCTTATATAATATTTAAGATATTTTATAAAAGATATAAGATATCCCATAAACTTTTCTTCATAAGATATCTTATTTATTATATAAGATATGTTTTATAAGATATCTCAATTAATTTTCTTTATAAAATATCTTATAAATTATTTAAGATATCTCATAAAAGATATTATATAAGATATCTTATAAAAGATATAAGATATCTCTTTTTTTTATAAGATATTTTATATATTTTATGAGATATCTTATATAATATATAAGATATCTTATATCTTTTATAAGATATCTTATATAATATATAAGATATCTTATAAAGAAAAGTATATATAACATATCTGATTTACTTTACTAGCGGAAAAAAGAAACTGTGCATGCCTAAAATGTGTTATAAAAATAAATGTGAATGACGTAGAACAACAAGGTGTTCAGGATCAATTTATTTGTTATTTATTAACACAGCAGGGGACAATACTGAGTTCACAAAGTTAATACCTCGTATGTCCACCGTTTGCCTGAATGCAAGCCTGGCAACGTCGACGCATGGAGCCTATCAGACGGTTCAAGAATGCTTGTGGGATGGCATTCCAGATCTGTACCAACGCTGCAGCCAAATCAGCCAACGTCACCGGTTGATTAGGTAATGCCCGTAATCTGCGCTTCATTTCATCCCAGACGTGTTCAATGGGCGACAGATCGGGGGATACAGCAGGCCAGGGCAACACGTCAACGTTCTGCTGGGCCAGAAAGTCAATAGCGACACGAGCTGTGTGTGGCCTGGCGTTGTCCTGCTGTAGCGTAATGTGACGTTGCTGCCCTTGCACGAATGGAACGACGTGGGTCCGGAGGATCTCGTCACGGTAACGTAGCGCGTTCAAATTCCCGTTAACAACCACCAGAGGCGTTCTCCCGTTGGCTGTGATGCCGCCCCAAATCATAACGCTGCCTCCGCCGAAAGAACGTCGTTGTACCACACACGCGTCACGGAAACGTTCTCCAACGCGACGATACACTCTGGAACGGCCGTCACTACTATCCAGGTGGACTCGCGACTCGTCCGTAAACAAAATGCCTGCCCAATCCCGTCGAGTAAATCGCAGATGCCTTCTGCACCAGTCCAGACGTGCTACACGATGACGTGGCAGAAGAACTGGGCGGATTGGATTGCAGGACGTCGCGGACGGATAGCTCGTTCACGCAATCGGTTCCGTACAGTTCTCGTGCAACCCAGGGATTGTCCGTGCAGCCAAACTTGCCGTTTGGAAGCGACTTCTCAAATGGACAAGCCGAATATGGTTGTCCTGTTGACGTGGCGTCACACGTGGACGTCCCGCACGAGGTCGATCGCCGACGTGGCCAAACTGTTGATGTCGTCTCCACAAATCCCGGATTGTGTTTCGATGGACATGAAAACGTGTAGCGACAACGGCTTGGCCCATACCAGCTTGAAGCATACCAATAATCCGGAGGCGGTCATTTTCATTGAGCCTCGACATAGCATTAATCACAAATTAAAACGTTATAATGCTGTTTTTACTGTTCATTGGTCTCAACAGAGTGACCCAACAGTTGAAAGATAAACTTTCATTGTCGAATTGGATGGCTGGACGAGAAAAACGTGCAAACTGGTCAACGCCTGTAACTGCACGGGAAAAACTTTCAATGACACATGAATAGTGTGTATGTGTCATACTCGGTCATGCGTGTAAATTTTCATGTATATACAGTTGGTAATACATGCTCTATAACAATTCTCCGCATGCACAGTTTCTTTTTTCCGCTAGTATATATAAGATGTCTTATAAAGTATATAAGATATCTCATAAAGTATATCAGATATCTCATAAAGTATATCAGATATCTTATATAATTTGGTTAAATACTGGATCAACATTGCTCCATGAATAAATGACAACTTGGCTTGCCATAGTTTCATATTATTTTGCAGGAAAATTTATCACGCGAATTCAAATATTTTGCAAATATTAATTTATAATCATTTAAAGACATATTGTTAAATATCCCGGTAACTATTATAATTTTTCTGGTGTAAGTTTTCAAGAAAAAAAATTGAATCATTATAGCAAAAAACAAATGATTCACGGCAATCATGAGTAAATAAAACTTGAATCAACATATATTAGTGTTACGTTTTCGAAAAAGCCAAGGTCTTATAATAACGGCCGTTTTAATGCGCCATATAACTGAAATGTCAGTACATTGACAACAATGTAGCATGATATCTAACCAGATCCCATTATTCTGACAACCACAAACCAAGGAACTTAAAACAAACTAGTTCATAATCATAATTAGCATTATCACTTAATTCTTACCTGTTGGTCGTCCTCCATATCTGTATGTGATGACCATTCTGTAAACACATCGTCTCCATCATACATCTCAGTTTCAGGCACATTGTCTTGGAAGTGTTGATGATGGTAGCCTTGTGTTTCTGGAATATCCCGCACATTTCCTGTAAAACATAGCTACGTATGATGCAATGTAAATGGTTCTTTTACTTAGTTCCCCCCTCCTTGTAACAGCCAAGGTGATATGGTAAATTGATAACGGTGCCCTCAATGGTCATCTCACCGAAATGTCATTATTACCTTGACCTGTGACCTTGTCATTATCACCTTGACCTGTTAGATGACGTCCCGTTCGGACATAATACTTTGAAAACGGGCTGTCGGAAGGTAACCATCAAGGAGATACCGTCGAAGAGTTAATAGATGTTGACAAACAAAAAATGGTACAGGACCCAAGCATTGCAGTAATGTATATTTAGCCCCTTCAGTGACTCCAAAAGCAAATGATAGGAACTGAAAACAACCATTGATTTTGCTATACAAGCGATACAGCAAACTCGCTTTCATTATGTCTGAGGACCTGCAGGGGACACAACATTAAATTCTATAAATTAGTGAACATGATAGTTAATGTATTGATGTATATACGATGAAGTCGTTCGCGTTAAGCTTTCTCTTTTTTTCTCTGAATAAATTTCCTTTGATTTTCAAGCCATCTTGTAGAAATTCGTCAAATAGCTCGAAACTTATCCTGCATTTCTGTTTTTGATAATTAAATAGTTATCCATTCTTAGAATTTTAGCAATAATTAGTTGTTTCGCCAAAATATGTTTTCGACAAAATTTAACATTGTTGACGTCAAAAGGAACTTTTATAAAACAAAAATGAAAGGTGATATCCCAATTACATGGAACATTAAATCTATCAATATTACTAAAAGAAGCATAGATCGAATAGTTCTCCAGCGGTGTGCAAAGTTTTATCAATGTTTTATCAAAATAGTACAAAAACATGGAAAACGTGAATAAACATGGAATCCAATAAAAAAATAACGTACCAAGAAAGCCTTATGGCACGTCATTGTATGTGTAGATAATAAAGATAGTAATCATCTTACCTTGACTCAATATTGTCCAGGAGAAACACAATGAGGAACAAAAACTACAGTATAGAAGTATGGAATATACGACCATCATTCAAGTCTAGTCTCTTCAGTTATGATATCGATAGCGCGGATATATCTTCAAAAAGAGTTTAAGTACGGTAATTCAAACGTCATGCTGATGTATCATCACTAAAGCAGGGCATTGACGCTTTAGTGCCAGCGAGGTCATTTCAGTGTGGTCAATTAAACCATCTGAATCAAGCTGTAGAAAGATACATTAGATTATTTATTGTTTCAAGATTTCTCCTTAATACTATAAACTATATAACACCAATAAGTTCAGCTCTTATCGGCGATTATTGGTTTTGAATCCAAACCATCGATGTATTTCTATAAGCTTTGATTAAAAACATAATACCTATTACACATTTCATGCCGTTAAGCTGATAAAGATTTGTGTTCTGTTGTAAAAGAGCGAATGAAGATGTTGCGTCTTACCAATCCCTTGGTAGGATCCCGCAGTGTTAAATGTGCATCAGGTGGTTGGATACAGAGACACCCAGTCAGTATATAATACTGTAGTATTTAACACTGACTTGCCTGTGTACCTCTTAGTCTCAGCTGTCGGTGCAAACCTGTGACGAGGTACACACAAATACATAGGGTGTAGTGTGTACAAACGTTGTGGTTTGAGATCACTCGACTATTCTTATACTTTAAAGGATTCTTCACTCAAATACCTCTTTGTTGTTTTCTTACGAGCATGTATCAGCATACCTAACGTACGTCAGAGCGTAAACGCAGATTATATCTGTTTAACATTTATTACATTTGTTAACTAAAATAACATGGGGGTTTTAAGAACCAATATCACAAATCATTATTATTAATCATTATAACATTCAGCATTGTTAAACTTCAGAAATGTACTCATATGAAAAAGGCAGTAATACGATTATTGGATTCTATTGATATGAATGTTGGTCATCATTTGAAAGAAAATACAAACAGAATAAAGTTACTAGAATACAGAAACAATTATCAACACTATAAGGTTGCAGATCAGAGGTACAAGAAAAGAAATTAAAAGAAAGAAATATTGTGAAATAATGAGGGTCCTCCCCAGTATTGCTGTGGGAACAGAATACCAATTTATGTCTTGTAATAAGATTCATCAGTCTGAAAGTATTTAATATCAAAAATGTATTTTATACACAAACAATGCAATACAATTTCGTCACATCTGTATACACGTAAACAATACAAATCACTTTCTAAGTCATAGCTTGACAAAGTGACCAGTCGGTCTTGAAACGTTCCAACACGTAGTTAAACTTAGAACATTTTACTGCACCTCATTAATTATGGATCTTGGTAGGAAGTTTGTCAAGGTCATTTCATAGCGTCAAAAGATATGTTGGCAACCTTTGTAACAATTCGAGCAACAAATTAACAGACCAAATGTGGTGACCCTAATCTTGGTAAGCATTTAAAGCACTGGATAAAGGCCATGGTGTCGCCGTTACCTTCTGTCGGAGCAGATTTAGGCCTCCCTGGTAGGAAACCCTGGTTATGAAGTTTGTTAATCAGTATGACAGCATCCAGAATTCTAATTGCACATTTCGAATAATAAATAATATAATAATAGTAATTCGAGGTTCCTATATAGCGTTTTAACAAAACAAACCAGCCAATAACTTACTCAACTCCCTGGGGAGCATACAGCTGGTGCTCACATCTACCATTCAACAACTCCAGCACTGCCCAAACACGTACTCATGTACAGCTGAGTAGACTGGAACAAGCGGAGTAAAGTATCTTGTTCAAAGATACAACACAGTACCGTGACATGACTGGAACCCGCAACCCTTCTGTCCTAGAATTTGTTGTGTCGATAATTTAAAGAAATATTGATATCCAGAAAATACAGTTGTTTCTTTAAAGGTGTTAAAGATTATGTAGATATTATAAATGCTTATTAAGGGAATATGTTTTCATGTTTCGTAAATATACCTAAAAATGAATAAGCTTTATCGTTTTCGTTAATATCTTTTGGCATTTAACATTAGACATTTAAGGCACCAACGTTCCTTTTCACAGTGATTTTCATAAGATATCCAGCATCGTTTAACTGATATCTTGAAACTGATATTTGAAGCATAGTGCCGGCAGGATGATAATATAGTTAGATAATCAAGTATTGTATTTTCGACTTGTCCAATTCTACATTTCTTACTTTGTTGATAGTAGGTACAACACGGAGAAGTCGGAACTAAGCTAAGAAAAGCCTGATACACAAGAGTGACTTATTTTTTCCTGCGTTTTGCAGCACCTTCATCTGAAACAGACATTACAACCAAAGGATTATGCATGAATTGTATATTTGCACCATTATGAGAGGTTTTATAGTTCATGGTTCTACCCAACTTGCTGTCGTTTTAGATATGATTCGCAATACTTAAGAGGTGGATTTGTTCATGTTAGGTAAGAACCACTGATGACACCTGAATGGACGCAGTCAATGCGTTTTTAGTCTTAGTAGTTGCTAAACACCGTGCCTGTATTCTGTAAATTTGATATTTTGCTATGAGATAAGTTGATAGAATATGCGTTCGTCATTCTAAATAAATATGCTGTGTTTATACTTGTTAAATTCAGTAATTTTGTTCTGAAAATCTTGTTACTATTTTTCCTCAGATTACTTTTTTGGGGGAAAGTGTCAGGCAACTAAGTTAACTATGCCTGTTCAGTATATTCGAAGAGCCACATGTAAAATTTGGACGTCTACAGGTGTGATAACTGATTGGAAGCAATACAATAGTCGTCGTCCATTCTGAAATATATTGAATCCACCAAGACAAATAATGATGAAAATGTTTTATGGGATATATTTCAGTTTCAAACAGTCTATTTACAGCTACTGGAATCATTCGCTCCTTAAACACCCAAACAAATTTATAATTGAGAATTTGAGGCTTAAGCCTTGATTTTCTATCCTTTAATTTTAACATCGGAGTATTCACTATGGACTACAGACCGGTTATTCTTTTGTCGATTTGTCAGGCAGGTACAGGTAAAAGAACATATGTAAATCTACCGTTACTTGTATACACATACATGTATCCAAAATCAATTTGACTTCAGTAATGATAGTAACAATGACCGTACAAAGGAACAATCGAAAAGTCGAAGCATTTTATGTGCAAAATACTTTATACTTATAATACTGGTACAGCACTGGCGATAAAATGGCGTACTGACTAATGGCGTACTGACTAAGATACACTTTCACAACACAAATAATACATTAAGGAAATCCGAAAGTTATCGATACAAGCGATGCAATAGACACAGCGTTCTCAAGGATCATATCACACACAAGCGATCACTATGAGGTGGAGCGATCTGTCTTCGAACATGATGATGGATATTCCTTGATGAAACAGTTCAAACATGTGGAAAAGAAGAAATTCTTCTGGATTTGCAGCATATTTGTTATTTTTAATGAGGTTTTTTATAAGGAGTAACGTTAACTGAGTGACATTTTGTCACATTTCAACTGTATTTTGATCATCACATGCCACTGGTAAGGTCTGCGTTCTGTGAATGTCAATGTATGTGCTTCGGGACCATTGTTGAACACTTTCTTTAGGAATGACTTGGTTAACAAAAAGCGTAACTCATCGTCGCGTAGAATGTCAAAAGTTTATCATTTATAGACAACGCAGTCATGTGGACTAAGTCTGAGGGCGATCTGTCACTTCACATAAAAAAAGTCTTTACTATATTGTTCACTTTGGTAATACTTCTGTCAGCCTATTGTGACATCTTTCTAATATATTCGTCGAGTGACTGCAGTGCTCTGCACACATTGCCGACGTTGTGTCCATTCTCGACGAACAGTGGTAGCTTGCTGAACATGGCATCTGTTTCGTCTGCGTCGTCCACACTGCTGAGCACCATCACCTGTAGCATATTTGATAAAACCAAAACTTCTTACATTCGTGATGTAGATCCTCGTTATATTCACATATAATAGTTTTATTAGTTTATTTATGATACAGACTGGGCTACCTGCCTTAATACCTTTATTATTCTGAGCGAAGTCGTGCGGTGAGTACTTTCTTCACAACTAAGGCGTCCAAAAATCGAATTTTGCATACCGAAAAAAATGTTTCTGCAAATTCAATATCAATTTTGAAAATACAAATGCAAAAATCGATTTTACGTATGAAAAACATAAACAAAAATCATAAAACTTTTTTTTTTTTTTTTTATCTATTTAATAAATATATTCGTGAATGAAAAAAAAAGTATCTGATGTTTTTACAACGTCCAAACATGAAAAAGAAGCATGCATTTGAAAAAGGTTTGTATGTAATTAGGGTCTAATTTTTGGCATAAGATGATAAAAATAGCAATTGATCACTGATATGATCGATATATGCATATAATTCTAAAAAACTTACTTTTCGACAGTTCTTGATCTTATACAGGTCGACGTTCACATCCGTCTTTATCCTTAAGCCAAGGACTGTACTTGCTTCTTTAGCCCAAAGAATTTTGAAATTCTCCCATGTCATACCTTTCAAAGACAATACAAAAGAATTAAAGCATGTGTTTGTGTTTCTTTGGCCAGCATATTAAGCGTCATACTCAAACATCTAACCAGTAATAATCTTTCATATGAGGGTTGCAAATAATTAACACTTAAAATGTGTTATATGACCACACAACAGCTAATGAAAGAATATTGGTAACGTTCCTGAAATCTGGCATCTTCTTAACGATTTTAAAATGTGACTTTTATCTGAAGTCAATATATTGCATTGCAACTACCTACTTAGTTTTTAGTTCTTGCTTGTCTACCAGATAGCGAGGCAACATTCAAAAGACTAAAACTCTTCATTATCATAACATACCTTGGTAGTCGAGCGTCAAATCATTCCAATGAGTGTACTTTTTGCCCAGCGTACGCGGCGCAGGCTTGCAGAGATCAGGGTCCACATCTAATACAGTCTGGGCGAACATCTCATAGTCTGTGAGGGGTGTACATGTAATGTCAATGACACCGATCGCTGACAGCTCAGAGATGATCTTTTCCAACTCAACTTCACCCTCCGACGTCTCAACCACTGTAGACATAAAATAAAATAACTTTTGTCGGGTTTTAATAACTATGAGAGAGCATATCGTCACACACTTGATATGACTACCTATGGCAGATAAACATCGCATGCGTTATGCGTTTATCCTGTTAGCCAATGCACTCTACGTTGGATTTTATCTCCCAGAGAAGAGAAATAACATAATGATCCCAACATCGTCGACATATGACTTAAGCTGACATGGTAGCAGAATAGTGTAATAGGATTGGTGTCATGCTACCAGGCTAAATATTTAATTTTTGTAAGATGATTCTTTAAGTTGTCATTCAATGCCCCATTATGTATACTCCATAATCTATGGACACGTTCTTCGAAAAAAAGAAAGACGAAAACCTCACTGCAAACAAATTTGGTGTATACTGCGAGATATGGTTATCCACCTTATATCTGCCTATGTATCTATATATATTTCGGTTTCACGCCAGTGAAAATGTAGGGTTACTTCTCTTGTTCGTTCGTTTGGTTTTCCTTAATCTGATTCCAATGACATGGTCATATTATCTTCCCCCCTACATGTCTGAGAAGCAGAAAGTAAGGTTTGCCAAGAAATAACACCGAAGTGAAAGCGAAAAAAAATATCAAGAGATTCGGAATGAATAGTAAAATAATTCGGACCATAGACGCTACCGTGCATATTTTAACTACCTCATCAAGGTTGAACACTATATTCATTACCAAATGCATTAAACTTTCTGAATGTATGATAACATATGTGTTAATACCTACCAGTTACAACTCGAGGCTCACCAGTCACCTGTTAGTACAACAGAAAGAATAGTGTACGGTGTCAATAGTGTTCACATAGTAAACAGTTTAATGTGATATGTTATGTTATACTACAGAGCTCTAAGTGGCCTTGTTAATATTAACGAGACATTTTCCAATCAGGAATTTTAGCTTTGCGTTAATGTACAAATTCTTACTAATGAACCATTGAAATAAACATGTCATCATCATTTTAATCCAGCTCATTCATCATAAAGTACAATTACAGTAAATATGCCAGAATTATCTTTTCTGATTCAATCAACGTTACCATAAACTGCCGACAATGTAAATAATGAACATGTTATAAACCAAGAGTACGTCTTACCTTGAATTTATGAATAATCCTACATTTTGGTTCCCCATCTTTTTGGTTTTCTGACCGCTTCACGGACTCCAATAAAACGTCATTGACTTTTTCTATGACCTTTATCAATGGATCCCTGTTGCATCTGGCCAAACATGTTCCATCAATTTTAATGTCTAGTAAATACAGCAGTGTTTTAGACATTGTGGTATTCCTCTGTTCAACGTTAAAGTCCTCAATGCGCTTTCCAGATGCTAAAATGAAACTAACACAATTCGTGTTTGCTAGTAAGCTATCTACTTGCCGATCCTTCGAAGGACGTCAAGATAACGAATGTCAGTGTTGTGCTTTATGTAAATAAGACAACATCCGGGTAAGATGTGTGTGGAATTGGGACATACCGAGGACCGCTTTATAAATTACATAAATTTAATTTACCGCTGTACATGTGTTGTGTCATGGTTGGCGGGTTACTCATGTTGGCACTGTGTTAGTTTGTATTTTATTTAGTGATATCAAAATAATCAACTATTTATCAAAGTGATATATCTTATTAATAATGAGTAATAGTGACATCATTGTAGATGTGATATAACTAAAACATTTTTTGTTGTCGCCTAATAATTATAGTGAAGTCACCAATTCACTTCCAATATTACTTTAATAGAATATAAAGTATACTGTCCTTCACATGTGTTCCTGTGTTACCGATTGCCCTATCAAACATGCAGGAAGGTTTTGGTAACACACTACTTATACCATGTCAACATGTAAATGTGCAGTAGCGATAGGAGAGCTACACGCCTGTGTTTATCTACAAAACAAGTTCAGTAAGTGCATAGCGCTGTATACATGTCTGTAGACTAATCCAGCGCGAGATAAAAATGGGATAGCAGTTGACGAAAGAAAACTGTATATAATGCTACACATTCATGTAAAAGTATAGCTGTCAATAAATATACTTGTATTCAAATAAATAGTACATTGCGGTTGTTTTACGTTACCCGCTTTTGACAGTAGATCATATAAGGGTGTTAAATAAATCATTTTACAGTCAATAGAATGTCAAATGAATAGCTATTAAAATTCAACAATTTAATATTTTCCTGACCTAGCGTTGAACATTCCGCTTTTAAGAGTTGTACAAAGAAGGCTTGATGACTACACACAAGGCATCACTGGCAGTAGCAGGATGTATAACACGATAGGTGTGTACTCGCTTACGTTGTCCCGGATCTGTTCACAACAATTTTTATATCCCATCATTTGATGACCTGATTAGCTATGTGATGTGATACCTGGTACTCACTCCCTTACTGACTGATGACAGTTAAATGCGACGTAGGTTTACATCAATTGAACTTCGTAAAAGAGAAATTTGTCTCATTTGGTATCTGTTGTCAACCAGCTTACACTTGTTGAAGGAGCTTTATCAGTTTTGAATTCCATAAAAAATACATTACATGTTACATACGGTATCTTAGTTACTTGACAAGCTGCCTTATATGAGTTTCTATCAAACATGCAAGTTATATTGAAAAAGTAAATTATGAGATATCTTATATCTTTTATAAAATATACTTACAGTTACATACATGATATGTTATAAGCTCAATAGATATCTGCATAGTGTAAAAGTTGCCTTATGTAATGACATGGAACACAGAACTGGTATATCCCCGTGAATAAATGTTTGGACATTGGTTAGAGCCTCCATATGATTCCTGTCTCGATTAGGATAATGACCAATATTGACTTCCCTCTTTGGTAATCCCTGAGCATGATGATAAATTTCAGATGAATATGTGCAAGTAATTAAATTTCTTTCATTTTTTTCTGCTTTCATTTTAGCTTTGGTTTGTGTTTGATACCTATCTATAGATATGTACCGAAGGTTACACCAGAGCCGCGCAGAGTCTACTATGCAGATATTCTCGAATCTAAACCTAAATCCCCACTCATACACCTTCAATTCGATAATATGCCAGGTCTAGCCATCCAACGGACAGTTCTGTAACTTCCTACGCGTTTGTTTCTAAGTTATGATATTGCTGTGGACAACTTTGGGAATTATGCTAGTCAGCAATACATACTAATTAATGTTTAAGGATGTACTCTTCTGAGGTTTAAATCACGTTCAAGTCTCGTTTTGATCTGGTGTAACGGGTTTTTGTAATATTTAACAAATTATGATCAAGTTTAAAAGCAAACACGTATCTGAAAAATGTGTCAAAAAACTAGATGCCTGTTGCTTGTAGAACTTTTTTACAAGAATTTTAAGAAATGACCAATTCGGCGGCCATTTTGAAAATGTGTATTTATGTGTATTTCTTGCGCTTCACAAAAGGGGAAATTTCACCTGTTTTGACACTAGATTGATCACTTAAATTGTCATTGTGTCGCCATTTTGAATTGTAGCAGGTTCAATTTAGCTAAACATCTTTAATAAGCGAGCGCACACCTTTGTGATGATAGTGACTAGATATGGGCGAATGTGACTAAGCTAAGCCCCAGCTAAGAACTTTAGGGTAACAAAACGAACAGAATCCCTCCGTAGGAGATGCATGCGCTAAATATTCTTCCATGAAAATGAAATGAATGGTAGTTTAAAAACAATTATTTTAATTAAGAAAAACGGTAAAATATTCCATGTAGGCCTATTTGTTGTTTCTTATTTACTATTATTTTAACACCCTTGTCAATATATTGCCTGATCCCTTTTTTTACTATTATTTTAACACCCTTGTCAATATATTGCCTGATCCCTTTATTTACTATTATTTTAACACCCTTGTCAATATATTGCCTGATCCCTTTATTTACTATTATTTTAACACCCTTGTCAATATATTGCCTGATCCCTTTATTTACTATTATTTTAACACCCTTGTCAATATATTGCCTGATCCCTTTATTTACTATTATTTTAACACCCTTGTCAATATATTGCCTGATCCCTTTATTTACTATTATTTTAACACCCTTGTCAATATATTGCCTGATCCCTTTAGGGCAAATTTTTCTCAAGATGAAATGAAAGAAATAGGATCTACTGTGCATAAAAACTATTTATTAACAAGGCAAAGTATTGCAAGGCAATCCATAGACCCCCATGGCCACCGGTAAGAATAACTATACACAAACAGTACACTTATGTCAGGAAGCGTATATCAGGTAGGTCACAGTGAGGTCATAGTGACCTACTTCATTACACCATCTCAAGATGTCCTTGTTCACCCAATCTGGTTACTCCAGATGAAATAGCATAGAAGATATGCTCCGTACAAATATTTTCAAAAGTAAACGTCAAAGGTCAAGTCATATGTCACAGTGACCTAAATCTTGCACTCAGCACTCCTCCATCCCAAAATGTCCTTGGACATCAAATCTGGTTACTCCAGGTGAAATAGTAGAGAAAAAATGTCCGGACCAACTTTTTTCAAAAGTAAAGGTCAAAGCAAAGGACACAGTTAATTAGGTCAAAGTGACTCTTTTCTTGCACTCTTCATGATCACTCCGCCATCCAAAGATGTCCTTATACACTAAATCTGGTTACTCCAGGTGAAAGAGTAAAGAAGATATGTCCACTCCAACTTTTTCAAAAGTTAAGGTCAAATGTCAAATCATAAAGGATACAGTGAGGTCAAAGTGACCTTCTTGCACTCTTCGCTCTGCCATCCAAAGATGTCCTTGTTCACAAAATCTGGTTACTCCAGGTGAAATAGTATAGAAGATATGTCCCTGACAAACTTCTCAGACGAACAGACGGACGGACGAAGTGCAAACCTATATTCCTTTGAGAATCCTTCGGGGACTAAAAGAATAATAAAACAATGTACTTTTTGTTCAGTTCATGTAAATCTACATGTTTGTCTAAATTGCTAAGCCCAATGCCCCAGGCTAGTACAAAGAGCATGGTAATTTCTAAGTACACACAGACAAATAATAAAGAACTGATGCTGTTACAACATCTCTCATTTACAAACTTTACCTGGTCTGTAGGTGACATGCAAACGCAGTAAAATTAGCTCAAAGATGATTCCAAATCAGTATTAAGTAGCTATGAAAGATGATTCTAAATCCATATTAAGTAATTATATGTAATAATGGTCCCCATTTTGTAACTCTAAACCAGCATTCAATTTCTCAATATTCCAATATTGGAGAAGCAATTGCTGCAATATCCATTCCTTTTGAATAACCAAATGATAAAACAAGTTAATCATTTACATTTAATGTAAGAATGAATTAACTCGTGATCATATTTTGAACCTAAAGCATGATACAGTAGATTTCGCTTAATATCACTTCTGATTTGTCAGGTGAAACTGTGATATTAACAGGAACATGACACAAAGAGAAAACATGTTGTTCTCACAATTCCAGATGTCAAAACCCGGAAATAACCGTATTTAAATGTCCAAATGATATGGTATTAAAAGAAGATCGTTTGATAAAATTATTTGTAATTGACACGACTTTTCTTTATTAACAGTGAAGTAATCGCTTTTTATTTGTTTATACTTGCTAAATTTCGGCGGTGCTCTACGATCGTACGTGATCAAATAAGCCTAGAGGCTAGATCGACATGTAGGCCTAGTTGCTGCCGGCCGCTAGTCTATATATTCTGCTCCGAATTAAATCGTAGAGAATGTCATGTTAGTACAAATTTACCTTAATCTTTTCAATGCTTTGATATTGAAAACATCTTAGTAAATTATATCATTCAATCATGCGTTCCAAGTTTGAAGTTTACATCGTTTTCAGCGAATACAGAGAACGTGAAAAAGCTACTAGTGATGAACTGTGATATTTTGTACCACTGTACCAGTATCTTCAGAAGTCAGATGCTGCAATAGATATAAACAGGGCCATTGCAATTACAACACAGAAATGATAAATACACAAAAGTGATCTCACCAAGTTATACAAGAGATACATGGACGTATTATGTTATTTGTTGTAGTGATGTAAAATTCAAACAAAAAAAAAAAAGTTCATATAATCCAAAAAAGGCTTGACAGAAATTCATGTTGGGAGTGACCAACATATATTATTGATACATGTATATCATTTATGGTGGGTACATAATTGTCTGACATACGGTATATCTATAACGCTGACAATTTTCAGAAAAAAATGATATTGTGGAGGAATGAATGACACGGGGGTAATGCAATTTCAGATATAGCGACTTAGGACCTTTCCCTATCCATGAAGAGTGCTTGATTCTAGTATATCTGGATCTGAAGAAGAAGATTGTTGAAATTTCAGCCAATTTGCCCTCTTTTGGTCCCTCCCTTCAGGCCCTAGGGTAGGGCCAGGTTCTTAATGTTCGTTCCTACCATCAAATTATAGTCACATGATTGTCATTCCAACCAACTTTGAAATTGTTCCCACTGAAAGTGAACAAAATATACCCAAAAGTGTTATTTCCCCATATAAACTACAGCAAGGCCAAAAACAAGATTACATATGCTTCGAATAACCTGGTCATGACCTACCTTAAATTTTCCTGTGGACCTTAAGGAATATTTTGTCACCTACTTTGAATCCATGAAGATCATTTTAATAGTCCGGCAAAGATCACGTGCACTTTCTTCCTGTTATGGTCATGGTATCCTGACCACATTCGTGACAGAATAATAACCAGTGAAATGCATAGAATTTCATTTTTCTTACATTTGTTATCATCCTGTAAGTAAGTATATATTGATCCATGAAAATAAAATAAATAAAATAAAATTGCCTGTTTACAGACCAACCCTATTTTTCTCTAGAATG